ACTCTGTAAACTTGTAAGCAAGTTCCTCTCTTCTCTGTAGTACAAGTAATTCTTTACGTCTTTACTTATTGAATTTTCGAATGTCATTGTAAATTCATCAAATAAATTCTATACGATCCTTTTGACCTGTACTTCCTACTTTCATTTAAAAAAAGAAAAAAAAAAGAAAAACGAAAAATTGTTTTATTTTTACTTTCTATTTTATTAAAAATGAAGAAAAAAAAAAAAAAGCGCTTCCTATCAATTTCAACTGCTATTTATTTACACATTTCATTTTGAATCTTTTAGCGATTTATTGTTGTATTTCTCATTTTTTCGGAAATTTTTTTTCTTTTTAAAATTATTTTAGTCTCGTAATTAAAATTACTATCTTTTAACAAACAATAATTCAAAATGAAGAAAAGAAGAAAAAAATTTCCAAAAAAACAATTTAAAATAATCTTTCCATAGATGATATATTTCTTTTTATAGATAATTTTAAAAAAAAAAAAATGCGGAAATATCTCATAAATAATAAAAAAAAATACAAAAATTATGATTAAAACTAAGAATGCTAAAATTAGATGAAATGCTACCATTTTTTTCTCTCTCATAATAATATGTCATCAAATTTAAAAAAAATTTTTTTCATCAAAATAAAGTTTTCCATTGCTCTAATTGTTGTTGCGCAAAACTATCAAAACTATATATATATATTTCATTCTTTTCACAATTTTTGCTCTATTTCATTTTAACCAAATGAAATTTTAACCGCAAATGGCCCTTCCATAATTTTTGGGTCAAATACCTCAAATGCAAATCATATTTGGTATTCATTGTGACATTTCATTCCTTATCAAATTTTTTAACATGGTTCAAAAAAAAAAAAATCATAAATGCTAAAATTACATGGATAAATTGAGTGGAGTAGTTGTAGGCATCATTGTGACCATATGCGCCTCGTTGACATAATCTACACCTGGTCATCTATGTATATGTAATGTGCTTCAATCAGAATAATTTACCACTTTTTAATTATTGTTACCTATGGTATATGTTAATTTACCTATATTCTGTTGTGCATCTGAATTGTGATATTTGCAAAATGCGGGCAGGTAAATTGAAAATGCCCAGTGACAAATAAAACGAAAATTTATAGAAATAATCGAGAAAATGAAATGTGTAAAAGTTTGATTTGTAAATAGCATCAAATTTTCAGGTATTAAATGATGGAAAGAATGAAAAATAACAGATATTTGATGCAATTAAAAATACAATCTACATAGAGCGGAAAGCTTGATTCTTTGAAGGTTTGATTAATATTTAATTCTAAATTAAAATTCTTTTAAAAATATGATTTCATTCTCTGATATAAATTATATTTTTTTTCCAATTTTCTCTTCCTTTCTTTATTAAATTTTAAATCAAAATCAAAATTTCAATGTGATGTAATGAACAGAAAAATAAATGCAAGAAAAAGGTTAAAAAAAAAAATAATAATGAAACACAAAAACAAAAAAAAAAAAATATCTTTACTCTTTTTAATTTTCAGTTTTTAATTTTTAGTTTAAAAGGAATTATTGTGAATATTGCTGCATTTTGATATAAGCTTCGACTACTTTTTTTTTAACTATTATTATCATTGTTATCATCTACATTTTAAGTTTATTACCATTATCATTTGAAAAATATTTATGAAATTTAGTATATTACTTTTTTCTATTCCTACCATTTTACTTTTATTACATTATCAGCAACAGTTACTTTTTTATTTGTTTATTTATTTATTATTACTATTACTATCATTGTTATTATCACACCTGCAACACTCCTATTGATTTATTAGATTATCCGTAATCTCATTGAAAAGAGGTGACAGATGTTGACATTGTTGGTATTATTATCACAGATAGAAATAATCTTTGAGCTTTATATTATCACAAAGTATATTTGAATGAAATGCACACTGAAAATAGCAAAATGTTCATTGATGCATTAACTAAAATTTTGCATTCAATTTGTTTATTTTCTCACTTTCCTTCCTTCTTTCTTTTTTTTTTTTTGAAAATATTTTGCAAAGTTTTTCTTTCATTTTTTTTCGTAAATTTCACAAACAAAGACACAGACAGACACAGACAGATACACACGGACACATACATACAAAAATTGTTTATATAATTTCTAGGACTGATTAAGAGATTTCCTAAAGGATTTGTAGATGCTATTCTGATTTATAATCCGAGATTTGAAATCTGTTGAAATCCTTAAAAAAAAAAAAAAGAAACTGGATAAAACTATAAGTAAAATTATTTATTCTATAGTGATTACAACAGTTAGTTCTCATAGTATTTTGCTTTATATTATTATGCATGATTTAAAAAAAAATTCTATAACTTTACAACTGATACATTGGAAGATGAACAGCATCCTATCAACTTATTAACAACAATATGCTTTTCCGGAAATATAGAATTGATTTTCTGAAATGGATCAAACTGATGGAATTATCCTGAATAGTTATCAATTATTTGTGAATATTTTTGGAAATCTCTTTTTACCATTTTTTTGTCATCCTTCTTGACAAATATAAAAATTGAACTTTGTATTAATTTATCTTTACTTAATATTTGCGTGCTAATTATAAATATGAATTTTGTTACTTCGTTTTTCTAATTACTTTAAGTTTTTCCATTTACTAATACCAAGCATTTATTTATATGTCAAATGAAATGCAAAACTTTATGTATTGTGACATTTCACATTTAATTTCCATTTTAATTTAGATACTTATTTGGCACATAATAATTTCCTTATTTACTTCGAAATTATTAACTTAAATTACTGCGAAATTATCAATTTCCTTCCCTTATTTCATATTCTTAAATACTTATTAAAAGCATTTTTTTTTTTATTGCAGACTTTCTGTTTTTTCTTCATTTCACTTTATGCTAGCATTTTAATTAATAATTTTCTCTAATGACATCAAATTAATTGCTCCATATAAAATTATTTTTGCATTTCCAACTATTCTGTCATATATTTTTCCTTTTCTTTTTTTGATTAAAAAAAAAAATGAAAATTACTATCAAACTTTTTCATCTTCCTATTTCATTTCAATAATTGTAAGCCTTAAAGACTGGTCTTATTTCATTTTTATAATCAAGCTTATTTTTTAATGTCAACAATGTCATCAGATCCTCTTGTCTAGTCTAATAACATTGGTTAGTTAATTTTAATTAATTAACATTGGAAATTACATATATTTACATGCATTCATATTAGATGAAGCGATTTCAGTTTAAATTTGAATTATACAATACAAATTGACTTGAATTGAATTTATTTTTCTCAATTTATTATTATTACCGTAATTGTTATGATATGCATATCCGTTAGCTATTTATTATGCTTGAAAGGATAATTTATTTTCCTGATTTATTAGAATACTTCTATGCATAACAGAAAGGATAATTTTTCCGACTTACTGAAGTATTTCTATATGTAAATATATCAATACCAAATATGCTATTATTATTATTATTCCATTTCATTATTAATCAATTTACTAATTTATTGTTTATATTATCACTACAATAATCTGTTTCTTATCAGACAATTATTACTCAATCGTAGTAATATTTATTATTGGTTTGACATATTGTTTACTTATATTGTTTTTGTTGTTTACTTCATTTCCAATTTTTTAAATCATTTCTTGAATTGATTTAAATTTGCTGTTAATTAGTTATATATAATTTAAAATTCAAGATCATCATCAGAACTAAATCATTCATTCAGTTCAATCTCTCATATCTTTTGCTGTTAGTAGATAAAACGATCAACAGAAACAACCAGAATAATCTATCAGTTTCTATATCCAAATACATCGTTACCAGTTATTATTGGAAAGTTCAAAGGTTATCATCGTGTTTCATATGATAATTTGGACAATACAACAAGTAAATTACTTGGTGCTACCAGGCTAGGTAGTTGTGGGTTCTTCTTGAAATGAATGGTACCTAATGGTAGCATTTCAAATAATTTTTCACTTTTTTCCAAATAATTAACTGCAAATAATACAACTATTTATGGTATATGTGTGTGTTCGAAATTAATAAATTTTATTGAACCATAATCAATATTCTTTATATAATTAAATATAATTCCATCTTTTTATCCTTTATTTCCTTATATTGTTTTTTTTTTCCTCCTGTTTTTCTTTTTTACTCATATTTCATACTTCTTTTTAATCAAATCTATTTTTTTTTTTTTTAAATATTATTAGAAATCGAATATGCATTAAATATTATGGAATTGAAAAATTCTATATTTGAAACAACGAAGTAAAATTAGAAAGAGGAATAAGTTTATGCTTTCAGCATTAGCAATAAATATAACTCACCACTCCTACTTTTCTGTTTAGGTTAGCAATTCTGTATCTTAAAAATAAGTGTATAAGTTTTAAATTAACAAGTTTGGAAATTAAAAGAAAAGTATAAAGAGAAGAAGTTTGCACTTGTGCTTATCTTATATTAGATATTCATTAAATTTCATCTAAATTTAATGAATAAATTATGTGTGTCAACAAATATCAAAATTATCTGTCACTTTTGTTTAATGAATAACTTAACTAACGGATAAATTAAAATTTGTTTCAAATATTTGTCGAGAATTAACGATTAATTAATAATTATTCTTCAAAAATCTAACTCTTTCTTAACTCTAACTTAACGCAATCTTTTATGCTTTTCAATTTTTTTTTAAAATGCATTTATCAATTTTATCAATGATATTCTTGACGTGTTTATTTATGAAAGATTTTGGAAGTGACCAGCCATTATCATTTTTAATATTTGTCAATATCTCATATTGTTTTCCTGTATTCATTTTTAATTTTCTGATATATTAAAATTTGAATGAAAGGAAAAAAAAATCGATCATATTTTTAAATATTAGGAAAAGGTAGTTTATTATTTTCATTTATTTATTTATAATATTTATTTTTATTTTTTCAGTGGGAAATGTTTCATACCGTTTTAAAACTTGTAGCTGATTCATTGCTAAATTGTACAGATGGTCCAACCGGAATAGTAAGTGCTCGAGTTTACTTATCCAGTATGTTTGTTTTTTTTTTTTTTTAAACGAAAATTTTCAATTGCTGTATTAAAAAAAAATTTTTTTTTTTTTGTTTTCTTAAACTTTAAATACTAAACAAATTTGAAAATGTTATTTCGTTTTTTTCTTAAAAATTTTTAAATTTATCACTTTCAAAGTTTTTGTTTTTTTCTAATTTCTATTTCTTACATATTCAAATGGGTTAACACACAATGCGCTTTCATTTTTATCAAAAACAATGTAAGCACGTATCATTCGAACTTATCAGTTATCACATACAATTGTTTATCTCTCTGCTCGAAATTATCATCCTATTATTTATGCCAATATCACTCTGTTGTCCATATTTTTGAATGTGTGTGAATTTATCTGAAATGTTAATTTACAGGAATTGAAGTGACATTTATTGTGACCTTACTGGGGTCAACTCTTATTTCGTTGGCTACTGCATGCCTTGGTGTTTTGCATGTTATTTATATATCATTTTATGTTACACAACGATATCGACGAGCATTTATCGTCTATCTAGCTGGTACTGCACCGGTGAGTACAGTACTATGAGATAATTTAATATAGAGTTCATTTCTGTTACCCGATACTGTTACCCAGACAAAAGGTAGGTTAAATTTGGAATAAAAATCAACAGAAATTGGCATTATTATATGCATCAAATTAATAGTTATCGAGAATGGTTGAAAGAAATATTTGCCAAATTTATCTGAAATCAGAAGGTTATTCCTTTAGCTTGACTTGCAATTGGATAAATTTTGGGTAACGGAAGCAGCGAAATATTTATGGTAGAACTGTATAACAGAAAATTATGTAAGAGTAGGAATAATTGAAAAATCATTAAAGTTACTCAAAACTTAATCTATCTTTTGAGAATAATTTATTTATATGTGAGTAACTTCAGGCAGCGTTGTAGAATCATAATTAAAAGTACTTATTTATTTCAAAAATGACATTTATATTTTTTTTTTAGTTCGTTTCAACTCTTTCTCTGGTGGCAATGTATATGCCACGGGTATGGTTCCTTTCCCATCTTCTTGGCTTCTTGTAAGTTTCATTTCAACTCAAATTTTAAATCTTATATCGACAAATCTTTTTAAATAATTTAATTGTTCATATTTCTAATATCAAATGTTAGGGAAGTAAACGATCGTTAGTTTCAGAGAAAGCTAGTTCAGTTACTATCTTAAATTTTAAAATAGCATTTCATTTCATTAAAAATAGTAACATCTTTGCTATTGTTGGATTAAATAAAAATGATTTCTCATTCAATAATTTATTCTTTTATTTGCTAAAAATTTATGCAAAAAAAAAAAAAATGACGGTCCTTTTTTTTTTTGCACAACTCAGAAGTTTTACAAAATTGTGCCTACTTCTTAATGACATAATATTTTGTTATCAGTTTTTTTAATTTTTAATCTATCATTGTCAAGTTGTTGCAATTTTCAGATAATTTTCAAAATTTCATAATTTCATTTCTGTCATTTATAGATATTTTTCAATAGCATTATGGGTGATTATTTGCCTTCTGATGAATATTTTCGAAGGGCGGCAAAAAATGGTGAGAAAAATGAAAAGTGGTTGTTCACGGATTAGTGTACAAACACCGCCGCTCTGCTGTGTCTTTCCATGTCTCCCGAAACTTGAACTTGATCAGTAAGACATTGTTTAATTAAAATTAATTTTCAATTAAGTGATTTTTATAAGTGTGAAATATTTTTAAGTATATGTGAAATATTAAATTATTTATACCAATTGATAAATAATTTTATTTATAAGTTTATTCTTATTATAGAGGTCGGATACGATTCTGCGAAATGATGGTCTTTCAAGCTCCGTGTATCAGGCTTATATTTACAATTTTAAGCTTAATACTTTATTTTGAATATCAAGATGGTGCTATCATGTAAGTAATCCTAATTAAACTTCACTTTAAATATATTAACTCTATTTTTTTCTAATTATTTTCAATAGTTCCATATTTTTAGAGAATTTTCAAATACTTTTGTAGTTGACACATTAAATCTGAACTTATCGAACGCTTCTTTGCGATTTTTTTTTTCTATTAACTTGTAAAAAGATTTTACTTTTGGTCTAAATTATTTTTCTGAATTATAAGTCTTGAAATTATGATTACGGAAGTTACCATTTAATCGGAATTCTCCTGGACAATTTGTCATTTTCTATCTTCCAGTTACTTTACGACCGACTAATCAATTGCGCTCTTTCAGCGCGTTAAAAATACTCGATTTCATATCACTTCCATCCTTATTAATCGGTGTATATGGTACACATATACTTGTAACAACAGTTTCAAATTTGGTAAGTAACTGAGTTACTTTGATTTGCTGAACAATTAAAATAATCTGATTACTTTGAATAAGGAACAAAATCATTTAAGACAGTGTTATATCGTTTTAATAGAATGTTGAAGTTATTCATGAAAAGAAAAAAGCAAAAATCAATACTATATTTTTTTTTTACATTGCATTCATGCATGTAAGCATATCAACTATTACAGAATTGAAATTTTAGGATGAATTGATTCTATATCGTTATATTGTTGTTTTCCGTCTGCTCGACTTCTATTTCATGTTTTATGGCATACAGCAACCTGTTTTTGATTTTTTGGCTCGATCTGGTGTATTTGGCTGTGGCACTGTGTTACCTTCGCTTGAAACAGCCTTTTGTTAGTGATTTCATCGAATTTGTATAAGAAAAATATGAATTAATTGTAAAAAACTGAAGAAATAAGTTGGCCTAGTATTCCTATTATCGGTAGTTAGATCACAAGCAAAATGATTTAACGATGGGTATACTGTATAAGTAATTTAGATTTAATGACGGGCATACTGTATGGGTAATTTGGACACACAAAATGATTTAATGACCGGCATACTGTATGAGTAATTTGGACACAACAAAATGATTTAATGATGGGCATACTGTATGAGTAATTTGGACACAACAAAATGATTTAATGATGGGCATACTGTATGAGTAATTTGGACACAACAAAATGATTTAATGATGGGCATACTGTATGAGTAATTTAGACACAACAAAATGATTTAATGGCGGGCATACTGTATGAGTAATTTGGACACAACAAAATGATTTAATGACGGGCATACTGTATGAGTAATTTAGACAGTAGTTGTATTCAAGTGCCTAATACTGTCATAAAATTTCATCCATCACTAAATATATGAGAATTACCTTTTTCCAATTATTACTTTTTGTTTTATTCCAGAATCTTTGTTTCATAACAAATCAGTGTTAGATTTTAATCGAAATCAATTTTAGAAATACGCAAAAAAATGATTGGGAAAATTTTTGTTTTTTAAGACTAAAAAGAACAAATTTTTGGTTAATTTCAAGTTTAATAAAATTTGTTACGTGTCAAAATTTGCATTGAAAATTTTCTAATGCCGCAGTCTTTTCCTTTTCCTTTTCCTTTCATATAAATTTAAATATTGAAATTTTAAAGTATATAATAAATTTTCTTGCAGTCTGGAAGAATTTCATAGTTGTTATTGAATCATTTTTCGTTTCGCTTATTTCTACTATATTATTGAAACCATCGCGAAGTGCATTCTTTGACAAATATCCTTCCAGTCGAAGTGTCGCATCATCAGTGGTCACTTGTGAATACAGCACATAGAATCGTTTGCACAGAGCAACCAGTGATAATTTTTTTTTTTTTTGTTCATCTGAAAAATTGAAATGATATCTGATACACTTCGCTTTAATTTCAATTTCATTGTCATTTTTCAGCTTTTGGAAAATTCCAGAAAATGCGAAATAAGTAATTTTGTCAAAAAAAGAATTCTGCTATAATTTTTGGTATTTTCTTGAATCTGAGATTTATATTAGCTTCAGATATTTTATCCCTTTTCAAATAAACAACATATTTAAAATATGAGATTTTTCTTTTTTTCTTTTTGTCTTCATTTCGAGAGAGTTGAATTGAAGTCGAATATTATTTCTAAAGAAAATTTTAGTGTGAAAGAAATTTTTCTCTGATAAACTTCGCATCTGCTAGAATTTTAATTCTTATTCCTTGTTTGTTCGTTCTTTAATTGCTGTAATGTAATTAGCATAGAATGAAGTTTCCTTGTTACTTTTACTTCCGCCAATTACGAAGGTTAAAAATCTGTCCAATTTATTATTTTTATGAGCTACACCTAAGCATTACTGCTGTTGTCAAGGAAACTTCGTAATTGAAATTGAATGTGATTATTAGAACTGCAACTGAACCGAGTGAAATTTAATTTGGATAAAAGTAATTAATTCCTTCAGTCAAACATAATCAGAAGTGAGAAACTTTAAAGTTTTCTGAAATTTGCCCAGAATTTTATATCGTATTTTTTCCAATCCTGCATAGTATCAGTTTCATAAATTCTCGTGAAAATCCAGAAAAGAAAATTAAGAAAACGAAAAAATAAAAGAAGCTGCATACGACTTAGAAAGCAAACTGAATTTGTACGGGCTAATTTAGACTGGGTAAGAATTCTTATTTATTTATTCCTTCGCATTGTAGATAAATAGATGTATATGTAAATAATAAAATGTTTGCTATTTTATTATTATTATGTTCACCATTAATATTGCAGCATTATTATTATTAGTATTTATTATTATTAATTATTATTTCATTAAGTTAAACATTCTTATCTTTCAGAAAAGTTTAAATTAAGAAAAGTTGGATGAAGTACTATATCTAACTGTAAACTTCGAAATCAAAATCTCCTCACAACATCGCTTATTTTGCAATTTAACTGTTAATAAGGAATACATGAATTTTCGAATGAAATACAAAGAAACAGAAAAGGATGAAATATTAATTTATTTTGATACTGAGCAATAATTAGTAATAATGTATGATATTTTCTTTAATCATATGATTTCATACTTCTTAATCAGTAGGAAGATAAAATATTTCTTGCATTTTAGTACAATTGAAAGTTATAGCAATTAATGGCAGTTTAGTAATTTATTTGTAATTAGCCTCCTTTTTTTAACTATCTATTACTCTAGTGTAATTAATAAGTAATTTAGAATAATTAGTTGTTTTTGTTGAGGCAACGAGTCAAGAAAATTTTTTGGTTGAAATTGAACAGAATCACTAATTTTTACATTTCAATTTAGTCATTGAAATTCTTCAATACTTTCCATTTGTTTATTTATCAAATGTGAAAAATCCAACTAAAACTTTGGACTCAGTGCTGGCACTTATGTGCCAATATTACTTTAATTTTGTGCAAATGTTATTTCTTTCTAAGAGGAGAATTAAGAAAGAATAATTGAAGAAAGTTAAGAAAGGAAAGCTCAAAAAAAGAAAAAAAAAAATGAAAAATTAGTCTAATTGCTTACTGCTTTACAAATAATGCAATGTTATTTTCCCTTTCATCATTAATTTTCATTAGCATCATTAACTACTTCATGAAGCTTCACATGGATTTCATAAATCTCATGCTTGTATTTGAATATAATTTTAACTGCATAAACTTAATTTAAAACGAATATAAAGTGAAATTATTCAGAAATGACACGCATAATATAAATGAAATTATTTCATTACCCAAAAAAAAGATAATACTCGAAATAAGCAGGAAATGAGTAATGTTACTTCAAATACTAATTAAAATTTAAAAATAAATATTTAAATTTATAAAAATTGAAACAAGTAGTGTAAATTTTGCATTTGAAAATGACAATGCTGTTATGCACAATGCATTTTGCTTAATTTCCACAAATATTTGCATAGCAATCTGATTATGATATTATCAAAATTGGAAAAGATATAGATGGGAAAAATTTTTGATCATATCAGAATATTAATAATAAAAAATTCCATTTAAATAATCTATCTAATCTTCCTATGATTTTATTTAATACTGTTTTTAGGGATGCGAATGAAAGTAATTTGCAAACATTGCCGAAGAATCTTGTATTAATTTAGTGGAGTAAACGTTGAGCTTAAAAAATATGAATAAAAATTTCAAGCTGCATAGTAATTTATAAACACTGAAAGCAGAACAAAATCCAATCGCAAGTGAATTGATAAATTTAAAAATTATCGATTTATTTTGATTTATTGTACCACTACTTCAGATGTAAAAAAAATTAAACATATTTAAAATTGTTGATGGTTCTCCCTCTCTCTCATTCTGTTCTGATCTTATCATTTGAGATCAATGTTGCAGTTATGATATCAAAAATACAATAACTAAGTATCACTAATTCATCCCTTTAAAAAAAAAAAATGATATGCTTTTCTTCAAACCAATAAAAATGTGAATTTCTGCTAGAATTGAAAGTCGTTTAATTAAGCAAAATTATATTTTTGTTTAATAACAAATTCAAAATTCATTTTTTTTTTTTTTTGCAAATTCTATGATCATTCGATTATTTTTAATTCAAAAAACATTGAATTCCATTTGCATAGCGACAAAACAAAGTTGCAAAAAAAAAAACGCATTGAATTTATTTCTTAACAAAAAGTATTGTCTTCAGGGCTTTGTGCTATTGAATAGATCAAATTATTTTTCCAAATGCAAAAATACCTTTGCAAATTTATTCACCAAAAAACGATTTTATGCCAAAAGCATGAAGAAATAACATTCCTTCCAGGTTGATTTGGGTGACAGAGAAGAATTAATTTTGAAATCAATTGTGATTAACTATTTCTGATTGTGTCAAAAGCTACTTCTTAATATTATTTCCTATCTGAAAAAAAAAGTCACAGCAAAAAAAATTAACCTAGGGATTCTCACGATGATAAAACAATAGAACTGCTAGGATGACCTACCTTTACTTTATTAGCATACCTTTACTGAAATGGTTTTTAGAAGTTTATTTTTGCATGTCTTCTATTCACTTTACTTACACATATTTCTTCTTTGTTCTCTTATCTTATCACTAGTGAGTAATAAGTGATAATAAGTGATAATTCTAATTGATAATTCTCAGCACTTTTATTCATTTTTCCATCTGAATACAACCTATTGCTAATAATAGCTAATATTTAATTCACTTTTGACAGCTTTTCCTTTTCAATCAAAAATTTGCTTTCAGTAATAAAAACCAATAAGGGAATTTACTAAGACAGTATGATGATGAATTATTTGTAGCAAATTTGAATACTGTATCACAATAATGATAAATCATAATTATTATTTATCTTGCTAACTGAAATATGTGCATTAATGGTACCAATAAGGTTTATTTGAACAAGAATAATGAGAATATTTAATTAAAAGTGAAATAAAATTGATTGTTGAATAAGGTTAGAGTTGTTAATAAAAATGGATTAGAGCTTTTGATAAAAATCTTACTGATTTGTTTTAAAATATCTGCGAAAAAAATAGACAATGATAAAAGTTAAAAAACATTAATTTAATTTGCAAACCATAATGATTCACTGATTACTGAACCAAATGCCATAATAACTATTTCGTCGAATAATCTACTGAAACATTGCATATACCAATATATTCTAGTAATAGTCAATCACAAACTAATAAATTATCATTTGAAATTTATGATTTTAAAATAATGTTCAATAAAATTTTGCTCCAACAAATATTTCTTTTTTATGGTATTTTAGAACTAATTATGATGCTAATTTTTGCTTCCTACAAATACAGTATTACAGCAAAAATCATGTTCTTTCTTATTAAAATAAAAACTTAAATTCAAATTTTAATTTAAATTAAGAATGGAAAAGTGAGCAGTTAATTTCCGGAGAATAGAACCTGAAAATTATTGTGCAGACAATTATTATGTGCTAAAATGTATCTTTTTCTAATTTTACGAATAATTCTTCTGTGATTTTTTCAAACAAATCATATTTTTATTGATTTTTTCTTCTTGAATTAAAAACGGAAGAAATGGTTCACACATTCACTTTCAGTTTTTTAAATTATAAGCAATCAATTGTTGCTAAATTGGGAAAGATGCTTGGGCTTAAAAGGAGAGTAAAGAATATTTAACATTAAATGTATTTCTTCAAAAAATAATTTCTTTAAACATGCCGGAACTGAAATTTCTTTATTACCGAATTCTAAACAAAATTTTGGGACAGTCGTAAAATCATTCATTCACCTTTGTTCATTGTAAGATTGCTTGCTTAAAGCATTTTCTCATTGCTAAATTATTAGTTTTATATCACAAAACAGTGAAACGAATTAGTAAATTGAATTTTCGACAGATCAATCATCGATTTCTTTGGCTTTGTATTATTAATGCAACCTCTGTTAACTCATTGCTTTCACTCTCGATGACAATGGAATTTAGTCAGTTAAATTTATTTTAGACTGAATTATCCGAAAAGATAAGAAATGTTTTTTTTGTGGCTTGCACCACCAATACAGCAGGGAGTAAGAAAATTTTCCCTTTTTTATTAGTTATATTGCAACGGAATTCTATGATCTTAAATCTCGACTACCAACATTAGCCAATTTTCTAGAAGTCGAGAAAAATTTCGTGACACATAAATTATTGAGATGTGAGGAGAAGCTCGAAATAAATCAAAAAAGAATTTGGATGAATATACACTGTATAATTTTACAATGCTCGAGAGTATGAAATTTGGTGCAATTGTAGAAATCGAATTTGTTACTGAATCATTGTTTGAATTCTAAATGTGATTATTTCGATCTAGAATCCAATTAAAAATAATTGAAAATCACCTTTTTATACCTATATTATTATCAAATTATTATCACATTATTATCAAATTATTACCAAATTATTATCACATTGAAAAATATCCGATAAAAATATATACATACGTATATTTTACAAATATTGTTGTCGAGATTTCTTATTCTTCTGTATATTCTCTTTATCTAGAAGCCATTAAATTGAATATAAAACCAGCAAAAATCATGTCAATATGTACATTAAAAATACTTAAATCTTTTCTATTTCAATTAAAAGTAATAAGCTTTCAAGCTGATCGTCCTATATCGAACAAAATTCTTAAAAACTATTAAACTTAATTTCAACATTTCTATTTTGATTTGAAATGTTCGAGAAGAAAAGTCATAAAAAGAAGACAAAAAGCAATTGGCAACATTGCGATGATCAAATGATATATCTCATCAATGATAACAATTGCAAAAAAAAAACTTATTTATACCTTTGAACTGCTATCATTTTAAAATGAATCAAAATATTTGCATGTAAATTCCTACTACAATAAGAAAAGAAAAAACAAAATAGCTCGAATGCATTAAAATTTTTTTGTTATTTTACTTTTATCATTGTTTTTTTTTTTTTTTTTCATTAAGAAACGAATACAAATCTTTTTGAATATTTTATTGCTTAAAATTCTATTTTGTTTAAAAAGAAACGAACTCTTTTGTTACTATATTATAAACACTTTTTATTGAATGAATAAAAGAAGTCAGCTAAATAGAAACATGCGTAGTTTTTATTTATTTTAAAAAAAATGGAAATGTATCAGAGACGATCATTTGTCAAATTCAATTTAAAAAAATTAGGAAAAAAATTTAAAAAAAAATAAAAATTTTTTTTTCCTAATCATTGCATCATTGTTACTTTCAAAGGATCTGAATTTATTAGCATTCTAAAAGAAAAAAAAAAGAATATTACAAAACATTAATTAAATCAAAGAAATTCCAAAATGCTTTTCACATTACCTTCTTATTGTTTTCCTAAAACAACAAGTAACATCCATTATTGTCACAACTGATATCTTCGCACTTTTAGCTATTTGATGAAACGATTTAATGAACAAATAACAAAATTAATTAGCATTTATTGTCAAAATTAAAACTTATCACAAAGAAAGATTACGAAGATATTTTTATTTCAATGAAATATGCATTTTTTCCTATAATTATGTTGTATGGAAAAAGGATTTATAACAATAAGTTATTGTTAAAAAACAAAAAAGATTTTACCGAGAAAATTTATCACAAAAAGGTTTAATGTCGAACATTGATAAATCATAAAAGATAAGGTAAATAGTTATAAGTTTTTGTTTTTTTATACGCCTTTTCGTATATTTATTGAAACATACACAATTTGAAATTTTGTTCCGAATGAATATTTTCTAGATTTTGTTTTGTTATGCCAAAAGAGCTAAAAAGTTTGCCACAATTTAGTTTTGCAGATCAAATGATTTTAATTTTACTTTCTAGAAAATTGAGAATATTAAAATCATAAAATAGAAAAAGCAGAAATTGTCATATTTAATTTCATTTTAAACAAATATAAACTGTTTCAAATTTACATCCAAATTGATAAGTCATTTATCCGATATTTGCTAACTATATTAAGCTTATTTAGAATATTGCAAATTGTTAATAAAGAATATATACATTTGCTTAAAATTGCTCCTAATTTTATTGTCATAATTTTTCAGTCTGAGAGTCAATTCGATTATTAAAAAGTTTTCAGCTCTTTGTTCCAATTAACTTTCATATTATAATCCATATCAATCTGCAATATCAAAGTACTGTAAAAGTCTTATAAATAATTAATGTAATATTAAAAATCAATTTCTGCTATAAAAGGCTAAAGGTCATCCGAGAGTGATAGCTATTTTTGTGTATTTTACTATAAGTCAATACCAGAGCTAAACTATAAAGAGTTAAAAGCATTGTCTGGAGTCATTCTTTAGAAATTGTAAGCCTGAAATTGGCTCATCTCTGTTTCCTGCACAGACATTAATCTTTGTTCAAATTTCTTCGGGTCAATCTCGAACAAATTTCTCCCACAAACTGTAATATAATTTAATTTGTCTAATAACCCTTAGTGTGGTATAATTTGATATTATCTAATAAACCTTACTGTATAAGAGGTAAACATTATTCGAGAGTGAACTCTTTGCAATTATGCGCCTTGTGCTTTCAAAGATTCGTGTACATTCATTTCTTTTTATGTGGTCACATTTAAAAATTACATTTGTATTTCTGTATTCATTTGAAAAAACTCTTAGCATTACACTTTTGTTTACAGCTACCATTGTATCACAGTGTTTGTCAATTAATTAATATATTTAAAAATGGATCATATGAATATTAGTCTAAATAATCCCTACTGTAATAGAGGTAAACTTCTGATATTTTGAGGAATTATTCGTTTTTTATTTTTATTACAAGTTAAAAACACATTCTTAGAATATATTGAAAGAATCTCGCAGAACAGTCAATTCAGAGATCAAAAAGAACTTTAAGTGCTTTTATGCAATTCTTTACAGTTCTACTTGTTTCCCATAATTTTCCAATTCGTCGTTGTCTGTATCCGTTCTAGGACCAACATTAAACCAACTTAAGTCGAAGGTTGTGGTCAGTTTATGAGCTTCAAAAATTGACATTTTATTCTGAATAATCAAGATATTTTTGATAATATCACCGATATTGAGAGTGGTAGACATAAATTTCTAAGGCTTTAATTTTTTTTTTAAATAAAATCGTAGTATACACCAACTTGTAAAACGCCATTGACGCATATAAACTTGAAATATTTCAACTTTAACAATTACTATGATCTATTTGCTCTCATAATGTTCGTTGTCATTGTTATCGTTTTGAGAGGACTTTATAAGAGACTGCTGATAAGAAATAGAAATGGAATCATTTACTGATCACTTAATTCTTTCATATTTGAAGCTAATTATTTATATATTATGGCGATGAAATAACAAATGGTATTTGGAATGGATATGGGACAGTTTTAAAATCAAATTCACATATTCAACTATAATTTCATTCATTTCTGTGTTGAACAAATGATTAATGATAAATGAAATAATACCGTATTGTTGCCAATTTGATAAATAAAACAATTTTATGATTAATATTTGGTTGTTGTTTTTTTTTTTTTTTTTTTTTTCAGGAGAAGAAAATGAATAATCTATTGATAGCAATCAGTTTAGTAATTCTTCTTGTGATATTCCCATCAAAATCAGATTTAGAAATTGATGTAATTCTCACAAATTTATTCTTCAAATTTTATAAAATAATCCACAGATAAAGTTAATTCTATCAAATGATCCAATAGTAACTTTATATGCTAAATAGTGATCTGACTTGATCATAAGGTTAGCTAGAAGATGAGATGAGAAGTGATGTAGCAGTTAGATAAATATATCATATATTCTACACTTTTGTTTACGAATGTACAAAAAATAAAAATATTGTTTATCGTGGTGTAAGTGAGATGTGACATTTAGAATGTGAATTCTCATTTAAAAAATTAGAATTGATTTATTCCTTTTCAATCTACTAATTTTATCACTGAACTAATTTTTTCCTTCTTCTTTTTTTTTTATTTTAAATTCTATTTTTAATATGTTTATAAACAAGGATTTATTTACTTTTTTTTTTTTTTTTTCAGGATTCCTCAGACAGTGATTATGCTCATAGCAATGACGACGATTACAATGAAGAAGAAGATGAATATACGACCAAAGGAGAATTTGTTGAAACTGATGGCAAGTAAGTTATCTAAGGAATTTTAGTAATTTTAATTTTTCCAAATATTTTTAATGAATTTTTTTTCTGATTTGTTAATGACATCATTCGTTGTTTGTATACTATCGATAAGACTGTTTATGAGTTGTCAAAAATGTGGTATTTATTGCTATTTATATTGTTGTAATCTTTTTCTTTTCGATTTTTTTTTTTTTTTTTGAAAAAACTTTTCATTAAATAAAATATTTTGGAATAATAATTTCAAAATTAACTCTGAATTATTTTCATCATCACATATTGCTTTATTTGTACATTTAAAATGTGCTATAAGTAAAGTTTGAAAATAAATGCAAAAAAAAAATTTCGTTTTTTATTTTATCTAAATCATTTACAGATGGAAGAATTGCAGTTCTCATGCAGATTGCTATGATTATCGTGAACCAATAGCTTGGTGCAAACCCACTGCAAATCAATTTTGGACGTAAGCGCTTTTCAATTATTTATATTTTAAAAATTTTAATGTATGCTTATTAGCAAATATTTCAACTTTTGAAATGTTTGAATTTTTAGAGACAAAGGTTGCTTCTGTGAAGATATGTTGTATTCATGTGTGATCGAAAGAACGAACAATGGCAAATTAGAATATTCATATTGTACATCCAAAGAAAACTGGCAATGTTTATAATAAATAAACAACCTGTAATAATAAATAAACAACCTGTATTTGATTTGTTTATTTTATATTTTCTGTTTTCATTACTTCTAGCAATTTTATTCTTCCTTTTGTGAAGAGATTTAGGATATTTTTATTTTAATATTTCGTTTTTCTACTTCAATTGAATAAATTAATGACTGAATAAATAATTGTGATAAATAATTTTGAAAGTTTCAGAATTCATTACAATAAATTTATTATAAATTTTTAAATCAAAAAAAAAAAAAAAAAACTTGATACAAACGAATTTGTTGCTGTCTTCCCGTGTTTTTAATTTATATATGATTTTTTTTTTCTCAAGACAAATAAATTTATGAATAATTCAAAAATTTACTGTAAATTTAACAAACAGAAAGTTAACAGTAAAAGCCTAATTTCTTTTCATCCTTTTTTGATAAAAAAATTTCTATGCTTTGTTGTGGATACTATGGATTTTATAAGTTACCTATAACTTATTTGTTCCCAGTTTTATTGTTTTTTTTTTTTTGCTTTCTACCTCAAAAACTAATTATTTCGAAGTGTTACTTAAAGAAGACAAATTTCAAATTTCAAAAGAAAAGTTTCGACTAGCTTTTTTCAACTAATAGCGATCTAAACGAAACCCATTTTTAATTATGCAATTTTTCCATCACCACTCAAGCATTTTCACTCTCATACATAAAAAAGTAAATAAAAGGAATTTTTTATTGTGTATACAACTTTTTAAGTTTTTACTTTGAGTTATTTTAATTTGAAATAAGTAGTAAAGTGAAATTATTTAAAAATAACACGTATAGTATAAGTGAAATTACTTAATTATTCAGAAATAATAGCTGAAATGACTGGGAAGTACTGAAAAATTTTTACTTTTTTAAAATTTCTTTCACGTGGAAAAGAAATTAACGATATGAACTAGCACATATTAAAGTATGAAATATGGTTTTAATTCAGAAATAGATGTTTGCGCAAATAATTTAATTCGAATTTCATTTAAGTTGCAAACATTTTGCAGATTTAACACAATTAAAAAGGAATCTTTGAAAATGATAACGATAAGTCATTAATTAACAAATATATTTAGGTTTTGCAAGACTTTTTTTTTTTAAATTTCAAAGTGGAGTTCAATTGAAATTAATTGGTTGAAATAATTTTTTAACTTCTTTACTAAAGTAAGTATATCCAGTTGAAATTATTGCTTTGTATATGTAATCGATTACAAAACTAGCAGAATGATTAAGAGAAAAGTTTGCTTTTGGATCAGATTTTATACTTTTTCGTTTTTCTATTATTTACATAAAAAAACAGAACATTAAAATAGACGCATTAAGATGATAATTTAATTAACATGATAATCCAGTTGTCATTTTCTCGAATTAAATGTTGGTTTGATTTTTCATAAAATTTTCTCGAGATTATTGGATTATTCAGTATTATCTCAATGAATGCTAAATAACTGATATGTTTTTTTTTTTTACTTTAAAGCCCTCTTATCAACAATTCTTTTAAAGTAATTTATCATTGAATTATGATATAATAATAAAAACTCATTTTTGTTACATAAATGCTGTAATTTAATTCTCAATTATTTGCTTATTTGAACCATTTAACGAATAATAGTTTAACAAAAATTTCATAATCCAATCTTTATTATATTAATTTTACAATTCAATTTTGTTTAGCACAAATATGTCGAAAATTTGATATCCACTTGTAATTAATTAATTAATTAATGAAAAAGGTAAAATTGTCATCTCTACTATTCATCGCTACTGAGTGATAACTTCTTGAAATTATCATTGAATGAGATCAAAGGATAAAATGGATTCTGTCAAATTATTTTGCAACTATGCACAAAGATTTAATTTTCCTTCTTTTTTTTTTCTTCAATTATTTTATCAGATATCGTTTAATTATATTCTCTTAGCTAATTTCGTTTTAAATTTTAAAATATTTGAAGTTAATGTTGCTACATCTCTTTTTTTTTTTTTTTTTTTTTTGAAACACAACTGATAGTATCACGGTTATTATTTTACTACACTACGATTATTGATTTTAAAAAAAGGATAGCAAATATTTAGTAATTTTTGTGAGTAAATTAAATATGAATGATTCTTGAATTTCAAACATTTTTGAATAGTATGCATGCACTTTCATATTTGATCCACGAATAGAAATATGCAATCAATGTGTTGAAATTTTTCAAATTTTGTAGATAAGCAAAAAATTATTTTCTTATCATTTAAATAATTTCAAATTACAACTTATTTATTAAAAAATTATTCCATAGAAAAAAATAAATAAAATAAAATTCATTAAAGTTATGCATAAAAGTTGTTTATTTTATGCAAATTAGTTTGTAAAAGAAAAAAAAAAAAACGCTCATAAATAAAAACACAATATAATATACAATGTTTTCATTCTAGAAATTAAATCATTTATAAAATAATGCTTAACTGGTTTGGTCAGCTTACTACTTGTCTCTTCATATTTGACAATTTATTAAATATAGCACTCATTGTGGAATGTAATGACTCAATATGGGATAAAAGACTCCACGAAACTACCATTGGTACTACTACTACTACTACTACTACTGCTACTGCTACTACTACTACTACTACTACTGATAGTACTATTATCACTACTACTAGTACCAATATTATTACTAGTAGCAGTTTTACAAAATATATTTACGAAAGAATTGGAGAAATGGTATCCATTAATGAAAGAAGAAATGATAAGAATGGAGGTATAAAGAGTGATAAGGAGGATGTGATAAGGAATGAAACAAGAGAATATCTAATATCAACTCATCAATATTTTGTTACAACAGGTATAATTAATGAAGACAATGATATGTGGAATAAATTAAAGAAAATGAGCAAATCTGATACCATTATTGTTACAATGATTTTCATTTTATTCATATTTCTTTGTAGTGTATTTATTGCGTTAGTTATGCAGAAATAACTTTATGTTTAGTCAGTTTATTTTTATGTGTGTGAAATGTTTGAGTTTGAATCTCGAAATAAATCTGAACTTAGCTAATGATTATGTTAATGCATATATTGGTTATTGATTATGTTAACGTGTATCTTAATTAATGATTATTTTAATGTTTATTTTGATAAGTGATTATGACAAAAAGTGTATCTTTGTCAATGTTTTTAAGCGTGTATTTTATTGATAAACGTTGTTACATAAATAGGCAAACATACAGATAAGCAAAAAAAAAATAGCATACATCAGTGTAAACTTAAACTTTTTTAATATTTACACTGGTATTTTTGTTTATAGAGGGATTAATGTTTACTTAAAAATACATTATTTCATTCTATTCTCACTTTACTCAATGTGTCGTGAATTTTTTTTTGAGTGGTTTGTCGCTGGTCAGGAATAAATAGGAAATTGAAAGGCTTATATGAATGTTGAATAAGCATTTCAATAGATAGTAATAAAGATGATATTTTGTAGGTGGTGGGACTCTTTGTTGTGATGAAATGACAGTAAGATTATAAAATCTTTATTAATACAATACGAATTTAAGATGACAAATACTAATATATAGGGTGACAAAATAGAGAGTATAATGTCAAGTAGTTGTAGTTGAATTTTTGTTGAAGAAGAAGAGATTAACAATGGCACCTCTATTTGTCCCAGAAGTGAACAACCCTTCAAGAAGAAGAAGAAGATGAAAATGATCGTGATTCTTCTTTCAGAAGAAGAAGATAATCATGATAGAGATTCTTCTTTCCTTCCTTCAGAAGATGATGATTCTCATTTAGTATTAAGTTTATATATATCAAGATTGGGAGTGGTTTACAATGGATTGCAATAGACATTACATCAGCTTGCAAGAGACATTGCACCAGCTTGCAAGAGACATGCACCAGCTTGCAAGAGACATGCACCAGCTTGCAAGAGACATGCACCAGCTTGCAAGAGACATGCACCAGCTTGCAAGAGACATTGCACCAGCTTGCAAGAGACATTGCACCAGCTTGCAAGAGACATTGTACCAGCTTGCAGGAGCTTACAATACACATTACATTAGACTACACCAGATGTCCATTTGTATACATGACCGATACATACATAGGTTGTGCTATGATTAAGAAATGATTTTTTGTTAGATCAAGATAACAAAAGGAAGTGAAATAGCTGAGGAATCTAAAATTCCTTAGATGATTCATAGCATTGCTAACAATTATTTACAATTTGAATGATTAAATTTTATACAAATTTATTTTATTTCAAGTTTCGCAATGTTAAAAATTCGCTACACAATGCGTAAACAATAATATGAAATTATTTATAACTAACATATTTATTGATTGTGACAATGTCACATTGTATCATCCGAGCTAATGCTAATCTTTGAATAATTTAGGAGACAATATAATCTAAAATTAATGACTATTCATATAGTAATAGACAATTAGCACTATAAAGAAAATATATATATATATATATATATATAGAAATATTTCTAAATGAACTAATTGTTTCATGAATTAAAAAGTTTATAAATTCAGCTTAGGATTTCACTGATCACTACTTTACAGAGAACTGATAGCTTTTGATCAACATTTCGTCATCAGATCAAGTAGATTCAATTAAATTAAATTAGCAGAAATTTTGAACTTTTATTTTATTTTTTTTTTTGATGACTATCTCGAATTGACTACTTCATTTATCGTTTATTATATTTGAGAACAACAAAATGAATAAGTGGTAAGTGTTGCTACCCTTTGCTTATTTTTTCGTATTCAATTTGATTTTCTATTTCGTGTTTTTATTTATTTAATTGGATCATAGAACCAATTAGTCATAGTATATAGTTTTAAGGATTTCAGACTAGATCCATCAGTGTTGCTGATTGTTACATTTTGTTGACACAGAGACAATGTTTAATGATATTAATAACATTTAAGTTTCAGTATTTCAGACTACTCTCCCTATCATACATCATTTACTAAATACAAAAAATTAATAGTGTAAGAGTAGGGTATAAATTCATTGGCACAACTTTAATGTGATATATTTCAATTTGAAAAAGACGAATTTTTACCTTCAATTCCAATAAAAGACTTGTCATTGAAATTTACTTCAACACATGTTACTCTTCCTCGCAATGAAAAAAGAAAAAAAAAAAAAAAAACGGAAAATAACCAGATGTAGCAGTGGTACCTGAAAAACCGGTTTCTCACTTAGCATACCAACTCATTTGAAGCCATGACAACGAGCAATTAAGATGAGTGTACAAGACTATTGGAGTCGCATTAATGTGTCACTTCCGATTTCCTCAACCAATTTTAACCTTAGAAATATCAAATTTGAAAAACCGCTGCTGCCGTCTATGCCACCGCAAGCCAATCTTAGTTGCATAATAATCATGTGATTATCACTGCTATAACTATAACTATCTTTTATTCTTATAACCATCAATCTGCTTTATGATATTCATAATTAATAACTTAAAACAGTATAGTTTGTTGCTGTCATAGTTTTGCTTTGCCTTTTTTAAAACAAATCATGTAAGTATAAGATTATATCTGATTAATTTACAAAATTTTCTTCTAAATCAACTGACTGCATTCGTGAATATATAGCTACCAGTATACTTTAAGTTCACGAAACACAAAACATGCACAGCTTGCAATCAAATTTTTCATTAAATAATTAAATGCGACAATATAAGTATGACAGCCAAATGAAATAAGTAAGCTGCATGATAACTGTTGGGCAAAGCACACAAACAGATTAAAACGTACTGAAAGCAATGAACACAACTTTAATTACAATGTAGAGAAATAAAACAAATCTTTAAGGAAGCTGCTATAATGGAGTATTCAGTAATTAAGAAACGATGCGCTACTGCTCAATAAGCGACCATCTCAACAAGGAACACACTGACAGTACTTAAAGGACATATATGAGAGAAATTTATAAAAAAAAAATTATAAATCTAAAAAACTATAAATCTCATTTAAAAACTATACAACTTAAGTTATAATAACTTCTTACATTCAAAAATCAGCATTCTGAATAAATTCAAGCAAGAAATTTAAAATTCAATCTGACTATGAAATGAAATTCAATACAGCATTCCTTTTAAAAAATGAATTTTAATTTTCCGGTTAACAAATAATATATTTCAACTGGAGTAAAATAAAGAACTTAGTTCACCTGATATCAAGTAAAATGTAAAATAAAAACACTGAAAAAAAACGTAAAGACTCCCCACGTATAATTCATTCCATTCTCTTAAAAAAGGTACGGTACCTGACCTTAATCCGAGTCAAAAAGTGTTACAAGACTTACATTTCTATTCTGATACAATATAATAGTAAAGAACAGAAAATGTAAGAGTTTACTGGTCATATAAAAGCAGCTTTTCAACAAAACATCCAAAAGAAAATGCCAAAAAGAATTAGCTAGTACCCATCCGGTGATTATCCACTAAGACTATAAACATGCTGAGATTATTGATGCTTACCAGAGTTGCCAAATGCTTAATAAAATATGGGTGGAGTTTAACAAATCGTAAAGAATATACTGTTATTGTCAAATTAAGAGTAAAACTTACTGAATTACAACGAAGCAAGCAAAAAATACCTGCACTAATCAATAGAAATTATTCATTTCATTTGAAGTAATGAGAAAAAAATAATTGGTCACTCAAATCCAAAATGAAAACGATCGTAAATATCAATTTTCAATCATGCAATATTTTCCAAATTTTCTTTGAATAATTTGTTTAAATAATATGAAGGGGTTGCAAATTTCTTGTCAAAAATTTTCTCTATATTTACTTCTCACAAAGAGTATAAATGCTTCAGAACAAATAAATGGAACAGAAAAAATCTCTCAATTTTATATTCATATAAACTAATCTTAAGCTATTACAATACCAAAACGATAAACGTATCTTACTGGGCAAATAAAAGTAGCTTATTAAATACAGCACCTTTACAGCACCATGTTGCAAATGTTCTTGTTGTATGCAATTTGCATAACATGGTAGAATACCATTTTATACAAGATTTGTACCCTGAGGATAGACTCCCGGAGACATTGTGGTCGTTGTGGTACTAATTGTACTCGTCTTGTCACCCTCGATTATCACCGTTCTCAAATTTAAAAGCAATCCATTCGGAGTAGCACGATATAGGAGGATTGCCAAGTAACCACACACTGCTGCACAAAACAGACAAAATAACTGAAAACTTCGAAATTTATATTTTCGCAACGGAATACAAATAAAAAAAAAAAGAAAGAAAAAAAGAAGAAAAACATACCGTGGCGAAAAAGTAGGACAAGAAAAGGCTGATAGGAAAACCAATCGAGGAAAACATGCTAATCAAGCAGATCAACGTTGATATACAGAAAAAGAAGAAAAAAAGCAAGGAATAGACGAAAAGCTGAAATAAATAAAACTTTTTTTCAAATAGTTACATAAAGTGATAACGAAAAACAAAACAAGTGCAGAAACTCACACTCAATTCCTTAAAAAGTCAACTCCATCTGAAAACTCCATCTCTAGGAGTTCTATGACAGTGCATAATGTCTAGTTGCTGTAAAAGAAATAAACTTACCAGAAGTGCAAATGGTATAAATGCAGTCATCTGCCCGATATTCAACATTCGTCGTTGAAAACCAAGCAGATGAACAATCCACGTGAGTAAACCGACAAGAAATATTGTCCAAGCACAAAAAAATACGAACGATATTCCATTGTAGTAATACGGCAAGCAATATAAATTAATCAGCAATATTAAGCAACCTAACTGAAAGTATACAAAACTGGCAAAAGCTTCACGTAGAAAAATTAATTTAAAAATAATCTGTGAAAAAAATTCTGATCTTTTTAGTCATAGAAATAATGCTAAATGCGATAGAAGTGGACAAAAATTATAAAAAGCTAGTGTGGAGCTTACCCACTGAGCGGTCATCACAATACCAAACGGCCATTTGGTCACAAATTGTTTGTCGATATCAACCATTTCCAAAAAGTCCAAAATAAGCACTAATATTAATTAAAGTTCCAAAGCCGAGAAAAATTTCCAGCCTTAAAATATAAATACTACATTATTCTTCCGCACTGGTCGCGCTAATCTATCATTTAGCTGCAAGCCTATATATTTATAATTAATAAAAAACAATAAAAAATGACTGTATCTATAATGATTTTATATCGACTGCAGGAAAATTCTTTTTTCTTTATTTTAAGCAATGTTTTCATTTCGAAACCGAGTAAAGTAAAGACTTAACTCTTTTTTTTTTTTTTGACACCACAGAACTTAACGCTTTGCGCAAAACAAACTCCTCGATAACAAATTTACTGGAAGTTCAAAAAATAAAATGCCGAGCGACCGCCCAAAATTATTTCTGTTTATTTTTCTATAAATATTATACTATCGCTTTCCCACTGATCGCTAATTCATCATTTAGCTACATATCTATTGGCATCTGTTTAGCAAATACTTATGTTGTAATAACAACGTCATCGCTCATTGCTATTTGTTGATAAGTAAAAAAATAGTCATCAATCAGTTTCAATCAGTACATACATACACGCGTTTACAGTACACTGACAAAAATACAAACAGTATACAGAAAAATGAACGATAAACTCAGTGTAAAAGAGAGAATAAAAAGTTCAAATAACTAAAAAATTGTACGATCCATTAAATGGCGTACAATATTTAATGATTAATTACAATATCATATAATACATAAAATGAAAATATTACACCTAAACATATGTATTAAACTTTAATGTTCATACATTAAACAACATGTAAATTTGTTAGAAAAGTAAAAGGTAAATATTTTAAGATGAATAAATTAAGATGAATTTCGATCATAACACAGCTAATACTAATCTTTCAACCATTTCAGACCAACAAAATTTTCTACAATTTATCCAGCTTTTCTGATATATTCCAGAAAGAGTGAATAAATTTCCTGCCAGAAAACACTTTGACACATCCTACCAGTAGCAATCAAAAGAGCGGAAGATGAAATCAGTGAAGAGAGGAAGAGAAGTGAGACAAATTTTCCCGCAACTCACTTCCTTCTCTCACGGGCGCGCTATGAAATTTATTGTGTTTCCTCTAATCTTCCATTACTTTTAATTATAGATAAGTTCACGAGGAAAGTGAAGAATGATTGGTTATTTTATAAAGATTTGTCATGCTTGTTACTTCATATTTCATCATAAGTAAAACTCTTATCCTATCTTTTTGCTTAAAATTTTAGCATTATTGTTATAGATATATACGAATATATTCTTTCCATATTCTATCTCTTTCTCGTATGTAAAATGTTTATGAAATAAAAGATTGAAGTAAACATACTTATGATTTGTCATTAAGCCTTTAATGCATCTGTTAGTATTTATTTATATTTGTTACTTAATACATGCTATAATATTAAAAATACTAAATGTACTAATGCGTATGCATCATTCAGAAAGTTATTGTTTACTTGTTTCCTTCAACATTTTATATCTACAGGAAACTAATAGCAGTTTCCAAAGTTTCATAATTTATAATGGATTGAATTTACAACTAACTTATGAGTATTAAATAAGCAAAGTTGCATCAGTGATGAGTTGATTATTATTAGACGGTTAAATCGATGATTTAATACCTTGTTTGCAGTTGATGAGTGGATTGTTATTAGATGACTAAATCGATGCTATTGAAGGTCCACTAACTCTTTGGTCTATAATTACAAATTCATGATGGATTTCCGAACTGAAGTTTGCACATTTGCAAGGCCGGCGGTTAGTTTTGAAATGTTATTACCGTGCATTTTTATTTCTGATCAAGAGAGTTTGAATATAATTTGATGAATTTAATTACTATATGCAGTTTAATGCAGCAAATTTTATAGTAATTTTAGTTCTAATTTTTATTCATATTGTCTCGATATTTCTCTAGTTTAAGCATACTTAGACAAATTTTTTGAATAAGTATAAATCATTGATTTATGGACTGAAGGACCATTAATTACTTCGAATTTTTATGTATTAATGAGATCTCCATAGTCCGTTTAATAAAGAATATTTCAGTTCATTATTTAACAAGATTTTTTTATATTATCACCTTAGTTAGTAACTTGTAACTTGGTTTTTGCATAATTTTAAAATTAAGTTAATTTCCTTTTTTTTTTTTTTTTCAAGATGCAAATAAAGTGGAAAAGGATCTATTTTGCTTAACAGAACCAGTGATAACACTGTATATGCTATTAGTGCCATCTTGTCAAATGATATTTCACTATCAGGCGATCACTGCTTTCGATTAACTTTATAATAGTGGTGATATGATTGTAATAATTTATGTGATGTTAATTATAAATATTGCTAGTTTTCCAATTCACTGTTTCAGGCAATGTTCAAAACATTACGACGCCTTCATGGCTACAATTTGGAAAATCGTGGTTTAAACGATCTTTCTGAAACATTTCAAAATTTCGTTACGCGAGCTAGATTCTTTAATATTGGGCGATTAAGGTGAGGTACAGTTGATGGTTGTACAGCATTTCACATTGTATGTGGTTTTGTTAGTATGCGAACTTTAATTAATGGTCAGCATAGCCCAATTATTAGTGGGAATTTGCATTTCATAGTAAATAGTTCAGTTGATTTGTTTTTTGAGTTTGTAAAATGTGGTAGGGGGCATATTTTACTATTGATGGGGTTTAAAAAATTATGCTTTGATTGAGATATTCGTTATCAATATAAACTATGCATCCTTTAATTAGTAATTCGTTTAATAATTTTGGTTTTCATGAATTTATATGGCTTTTGTTTGTATGAAAACACTTTTAAAAAATTTGTAAGGCATTTAATTTTGTTCTTTTAGACGTACGTGGTCTCATTCGGCGGTGGAATTTCTAAAATATCGGCGCTTATTACCCATGCTGACATCTGACGAACAGGCATTTAATACCGCTGAATGTACGAATTTTTCTTAGCAAATCTACAGTTATAGTTTATTGAAATTTTTTGAGGAGGAGTAGTCTTAAGCCAAACTTTTATCTGCTTAATTGGAACTGTTATTATTTCCTGTATTTTTATTTCCTCCCATATAGGTAGTGACTGATGCTTTGTAGCTTTGACTAGAATGGAGCATTTAGTGGTTTTCGAATTTTTTAAATATATTTCCTTTATAAGTTTCCGATGAATTGACTCCTGGTCTGTCAGTATCGACATCGACACAGTCAAAGGAATGTGACAGTCCACTTCAACGGTCAAAAAATGAAGACCGAAAAATTCTCGTTACGAATATTTCCCGACATGTCACGGCTAATCAGCTTAAATCATTTTTCTCAAAGTTTGGTGCCGTAAGTTTCTTCATTATATATGTACTTTAATTCATATACGTGATCAGTTTGATTTTATTCTTTATTATCCGTATGGTACTTAACTGTCAATATTATATCGACATATCGACTTTGTATCATTTTCGTGAACTATTCTTATGGTTCTGTAGCTGTCACTGAATTCCAGCATGCGCTGTGATGAAAACAATATCGTTTTTTATCTATTTTGATAAAGCTATCAATTTGAAAACAATTTTATAAAATTTAATTTCTATAGTTACTAATCTGTCTATAATAGTACTTAAGTTTGCATACTGCATGCTATAGCTATTAATAACAATGTTTCATTGGAAATAATTCTTCACAAAAAGCATTGCTCATTAGTCAAGAAATAGTGGAATAGAATAGAATGCTTCAGCTTTATGATTTAAAACTTTTTTCGCTTTGTTTCATAGATACTATTATATAATCTTCTTTGGATGGTAATTTGTTTACTATTTAGGCAAGAGCTCCATCCTTTGCAGATATCAAGTTGTTATATACCGTCAGAAGAACGTCAACATTCATTGTACGCTACGTTACCAAAAAAATCTCGATCAAGCTTGACCGCTTACATTACATTCAAGTTAGTCGGTACTTCAGTAATTTAATAAAGTAGTATTTTAAAATACTAAATCGTAAATTTTACTGATGTAATCAACAATAAAAAATGTAAAAATGTTATTTTTTGATTCTAAAATTTCGAGTGGTTTTAATTTTTTCAGAAATATGGAAGGTGCAGAACGAGCAAAGAATGCAACTGCAGATGAACTGAGATTTTATGATCAAGTGATGTTGATATCGCAGGTAAGCTGCAACTTTTTGTTTTTTTTCTTTCAAAACTTTTTTCGGAATCGATTTTTAAATCAAATACGATTTAAAAATATTATACTTTAAAAATATTATATTGTCAGTATTTGGCGATCGTTAGCAGTACCATTCTAGTAAAAGAATGATGCATTGAAAGTTGGTAACTATATTTCATATTCCTGCTATATACAGTAGTGTATTGGGAATCAGGTAAGCAAGTAGTCATTTTTGAGCAGTCGTGTCTCTTTTGTCTTTTGACTTAATTATTCGCAAATTTACAGACCGATGTTCTGTTTAGTTGCGTTTTCTTCAGGGGTAGTTTATAGTTTTTTATGAAGTTTTAGTAAAGCCACTGCAAAAAAAAATTTCGAAGTACTTAATATTAATCGTCTTATATTCAATTTAAGAAAACATTTTGTTTTATCCTATTGTTTATATTAGCAGACGAAATAGGCATAGTTACCAATTATGGGAGAAGTATTGATGAAAATGATTGGCATATGTGCATGCCAAGATTTCAAAATTATAAAAATGCAGAGAAAGTATAGCATGTTCTCTGCTAGAATTTCACTATTTTTTCAGTTATCATTAAAAAAAAAGGGTGTCGTTCGAAATGCTCTTCAAAAGACGAACGTTTATTCAGGTCCAGGTAATCAATGAATATTTTTTACGAAAAATTGTTTTTAACATAAATTTTAATTTTTTTTTTTCAAAAAATTGGTCGAGTATTATGTCAATTATTTAACTGATGTGAATTTGCGTTTTCTTTGCTATAGATTATAACATCATTGGTCTTACCTGAGGGAGAAAAGAAGAAGTAGAATAAGAGGTAAAATGTATATTATCATTTTCAATCTCTTTAAGAAATGTGTTAAATAATTCTATTTAGTTTCTGTAATTAGATCCATTCATAAATAATATAAGAAGTAGAATGAGAGGGAAAGTATAAGAATAAGAGGAAGAAAAATAAGAGAAAACAAAAAATTGTCTGAAATTCCATATTCGTGATTTATTTGTTTGTTTTTTTCGAAATTTTGTTTTACTGTACGATTAATGACGTTCCTTTTTTCCAGATGATCTTTCCAACAATATGGTAACAGTTGCATCACGGAGTACAACATTATCCACATTAGCAGATGTTGCATCACTGGTTCGTTCATTGCAAAAAAAAGAAAATCAAGTTTTCCATATGGGAATTTTCATTTTATTTATCAGAGGCACTAGGCTTTCTGTTCACTTAATATGATTTAATTGCTTTTTATTATCAATGAGAATAATAAACGCTTCGCTTAATGTATCCATTAGTTGAGGTATTTCATTACTACTCATTCGATCATCACTTATCTGTATTCACAAAATTTAAAAAGATTGTTTTCTTTTAGAACTTGAAAATTTTTACCACTTAATCGGGCTGTTTTCAGTTTTCACATCGATTATCACTGTCAGTACTACCGCCAAAAGTACTTACATTAATCCTGTCTTTCTTGCCACCGATGGATAGAATCCGATTAGAAAGAGTAAGCAAAAGCTTCCTGGAATCATCTATTGAGGTTCTTTTTATCGTTTTTTTTTTTTTTTTTCGCTTGACATTTGTACTATATGTTCTTTGTATAGACTGTTAGATATTCTGAATTTAGATTATATTCATCCAATCCCACTTATTTCTGTTTCGAAATTATAAAAAATTATTTATTTTTGGAATTTTTCAGTCGTAAGATGAAATTCACCGAAATATTTCTTTAACAGATAAGATGAAGGAAAAGCAACTAAGTAATAAATGCAAAAAAAAAAAAAAAAAAAGTATAGAGAGAAGAAAACGAAGAAAGGAAACAAGGAAGTGAGAATAATAATAAGAAGAAAATAGATTATTGTCCAACCACAGTCCAGTGGCTGACAAAAGATCCAGGAAGTAGAACTGAAGTGCTATCGTTCAAAATAATTAAAGAATGGTATCCTAAGTGTTCCTAAAGAATGGTATCCTAAGTGTTGAGAAGAGTATTCTAAATCAAAAAATTGACGTGTGACTCTGATATTAATTTCTAGGCTTTCTTTCTTGCTTGAAATTGCTCTCGAGGTGTAAGTTGAGAATAATAATCATACTTTTAGGAATGGCTGAAGGTATTTGATTCTTTTGAAAGCTATTCAAATTACATCAAATTACAGGCTTGGAAATGGAACGATGCATTATCATTCTCAAGTGATAGTGGTTTTGGACACACTTTCTCACCATTAAATCCTCTTCGGAATATTCATCTGAAGGTAGCAAATTATTTTATTGCTTCCACAATTATGTATTCTTTTTATCTTGTTATACTCACTCTAAAATATACCGTTTGCTTGAAAAATTGGAAATTATTGACATACATCATATTGAGCGGCCTTATGAACAAAAGATTACATGATCTTATTTATTCTACTAAAACTTTCGAGTGCATAATTTTTTTTCACACTAAAAGGTAATTAATCGTTATTATAGGCACTTTTGTCTCGTTGTGGTGTACATTTGAAGTCTTTGGATTTATCCGGAGTAGTACATTTACTGGATGAACAAGCTTTTCATATTATTTCATCTTCATGTCCAAATTTGGAAGAAGTAAATTTCGAAAGAAAATTTTTTCTTTTTTAACCTTTAATTTTTGGTAGAATCAAAAGAAATCAAACTACGAAGCCAAGTTTTATATGTCGCAACTTTTTCTTCTGTTTGTAGTTTAATTCTAATTCTCTGTTCTGCTTATCTGACATTAAGTCATATCTTAGGTGAATTTATCGGGACTCGGTGGTCATTGGCAAACAGTGCGTACATTTGGTGAACCACTGACGAATTTACGGTCTGTTATATACAGAGATATGGTAGGTATAAGTGATAAGACAATGTGGTATTTGTTCAAGCCATTAGGCATGAATATATGTGAAGTTGATCTTCGAGGCTGCCGACGTTTCAAAGGTCGTTGCTTCCGGCTCTTTGGAAATTCATTAGAAAAAGTGAGTCATCGTTTCTTTGAGAATATTAATAGATATATTTTGGTTCTTTCTTGTATCAAAATACACTTTGGTTCTTACGTAGTTGTCCGGTTTATTTCCTGCTTTGCTATTTTTTACTCTATACCTGATATGAAATAAAAATTCACGTGAATTACAAATTGCAAGTTCGTAAAATAATTTAAAGTATAAAAAAAGAAGATAGCTCTTAATTTGGAGCTATTTTATTGTCTTTCAGATTTTACTTGATGGTTGCTGCCGTCTGGATAAACAGTCCCTTGAAGAACTATGTCTTAATTCACCGAATATCACTGAACTGCGGTTGAGTTCATGTCAGTTGGTTTCTGATGATATACTCAGGTAATTGAAATTACGTTTTTTTTTTTTTTTTTTTTATTCCTCTAAAAGAACATAATGTCTAATTCTTATTTCCATAGTCATATCTGTTTCACCTAACAGTTTAAATCTGTTATTATTGTTGGCAGTTTCCGAGTATAATTCATCCCAGGATGTTTAAAACATACTTTTCTATGACATTCATTGCTATTTTATTCGGATTTTTTATCAGCATAACAAAAACAAGTCTTTAAAAAAATTCCGAAAGAATTTAACTGTTTTCTCCTATCAGTAGTTTTTAATTATCAAAAGTGCAAAAATTATTAGTTTAAAGATCGCATCATATGACACTGAAAGTTTTCCAGAGGAATTGGTAATAAACAAATAAAATTATGTTATATAAATTATTAAAATCTCCATAATATTTTAAGGAAACTTAACTTGCAGTTTGATATCGAGAAGCTTAACACATTTAAAGTCGTTTGCCTTGTGTGGTGATTTTTTTCCGAACTTGACTTCAATGGGTTTAATGGCTTTGTTACGATTGCGCTGTCTTTGTGAGCTATCGTAAGTATTTTCGTGTTTATGAAAGCTTTTAGGAATTCCTTTTACCTAACATATGATTGGTTTTTGTTTCCAGAAATTTGATTCAATATATCGAACTTTATTTTTTCGGATGATTTTTTACCAATTCTTTCTTTTCGAAATCAATAATGTGGAGTTAAAAATACGAATTTAATTTAAGAAATTGTAAAATTTAAAACTATTTATTGCAATTTACTTACAAAAATTTTTAGGCTAGATAACAATTCACTTGTATCGGATGAAGTATTGGAAGAAATAACTAATCTTCCACATTTGCGCTTTCTTAGTTTGGCATATGCTGGCTCAGATGTTACAATAACCGAAAAAGTTATTATGAGGATTGGAAAATTGAAGGAGCTTCAAACGGTGCGTTAAAAAAAATAAAGTTGAAAAAGTAAATAGTCAGTAATACTGATTGGATGTATAATTCACTTTTTTCAGCTTGATGTTAGCTCATTAGCAGCAATAACAGATCGCTCCCTATCGACAATTATTTCCGGCTGTTTAAAACTGCAGATTATTCGAGCGCGCTGTTGCACATATTTGGGTGACGAAGGTGTCTGTTCATTAACGACGCTGAAAAATTTGGAGCACATTGATCTGAGTGGATGTCTTCTTGTTGGTTATTTAAAAAATCTTTTTAATGATAAATTTTTGACCATTACCATGGCTTTATGAGAATGGCATTTTAAATATTGATGCTTATATCAAATTAATTTTGGTAATCATCCCAATTTTGATAACCATTCTTTTTGAATTATTTTTGCATATTGAAATATTTTCACTCTACTATTCATTGTTTTTTTATTCACTTTATATTTGCATTTAAGACCGCTAAATAGGAAAATAAAATTATAAATATGGTTATAAGATGATGATTGATAAATTTTCAGGTAACTTCAAATGGCATTCAAGCGTTACTTGATGCTTTTCCAACCTCTGAATATTCTCAGAAACTGACGGTTACCGCTTTATATCTTCCTTGTTTAAGTCATTTCCTCTAAAACTTACTTTAATAGATAGCATTTTTATTAGAAAGATTGCTTTGCTTAATTTTTACCGAAAAAGTTTGATGCATGCCATTTTATGCTGTTTTCTGTCCTTTGATTTTTTTGTCCTTTGATTTTTTATTAAGCAAAATTTAAGGTGAAAACAAATGCATCTTTACTTGTTTTTTACTGCATTTATTATAGCTTAGTTTTTTTTTTTGATGGATTTTTTTTTGAAAAAATTCTTTTGTTAAAACGGAAAAAAGTTACAGATGATCACAGTGGTTGTTGGTGGAACGGTATGTAATGTTCAATCCTTACGTCAAAGTAATAGTCGTGTGGTTGTGGATATAAGCGACTATAGTGTCTCATGTAGTAGTAATACAGCTGAAGAACTTTTTTCAATTTCTGGTAGATTTCTTGGTATGTATCATTGTTTAACATTAAAAATTGTTGCATAATTCTGACCTTCAGAAATAAGCAAGAAGTAGCCATTTGAGGAAAAGAAATTTATACATAGGAAAAATATTGCTTAATAAAGAGGTTATTAAATGCATTGATTAGAATTTATTGTTTACCGAAGAAAGATCCAAAATAAATAGTTTAAAATGAATAGTTCTGAATCCTTTTTTTCTTTTCTAGGGACCTCTGTTAAGTAGAGTTTGATATGCTGTTGTACCACTGCAACCACTGCTTGCAGATATTGTATTTTAGACATTTGTTCAATTTTCATTTCGTTATATAATTTTTCAAAATTTAATATTGACCATATCTTAGGCACAAGGAATAATTCAGACGAAAGTTCATCAGACGACGAGTTCGATGCATTGACTACTCATCGTATGATAACTCTTTTATTATATAATAACTGGTTTCTGTCGGCCATTTCTTAGGCTTTTTTCATTATTATGTAATCGTAGGAGATTTATGTCAGTGTCATACTTCAGAAACGGAAAATTCAACTATCTATCAAAAGAAGGAAAAACTAGTTTTGCTTTTTCTAGTCTTTTTTTTCTTTCATTTCCATTAAGCACAGAATTGACACATCAGAAATACCATGGATTACTCACTAATTTCACAACTGCACATATAAAGATTTTTTGCAGCAGTGGTGTGACGTAAAATCGTTTATTTGATGTTATTTATTGTTTAAGTCTTATTTCTTGTTTTGTTTTTACTGTAATTACTTTATTCAGTTAAGGAATAAAGCAAATTAAGTAATTTGCAGGATCGTTTATAATAGATGCGTTACGCGATGTAGAAGATGACTCACCACTGGAAACACAAGAATCGATTGATGAATGGGCCGAACGTGAAGCTCTCGATTTAGGTCTTATAGCGAAATGAATTGTTTTGGGATTGAAAAGTCCTGTTAAGCTTGTTTTACGAGACCTTCTAGAGTTATGTTTCTTTTCAGGAAATATATTATATTCATGTTTGTTTTCTTATTATTTTCTCCTCTCTCTTTTCATTATTTTCTTTTTTTGAAGAGGTTTTTGCAAGTATGGAAAGTGTTTTTTGCTTGAAGTCTTTTCCTCTTTTTTCCTGTATATATATACATATATATATATATATATATATATATATATATTTTTGTTTCTAGAAGTTAAAGGGTAGTTGTAGCTATTTTTGCGTCACTAGTATTCAATTGCTATTCTATTCTAACAAGAATTTTGTTATTTGTTTCTTCCAAATTATAAAGTCCCGAAAATTTGAATAGATCATCTGAGGAAATAATCGGGAAAATTTACCTGATCCATATGTAAATATTTGTAATTAGCACAATGATTTGTTTAATTTCATTTTTGTACCATTTACCTGCTTTTTTTTTAGAAATTTTGAATAGTTTGTATAACATTTCCTAGTATCTCAGACATTTACTTATTTTAAAAATATTTTTTGGTGTCAAAATCGCCACTTTTCAAGGGATAATGTGATGCCAACCCATTTAGTCTAAAAGCATCGTGAAACATTAACGTTTTTTTTTAGATTGTTTATGTCCTTTTTTTTTCACTTTTTAACAATGACTTTTTTATTTCTAAAGCTCTTCCTATTTTTGATTTCGTAAATTCGCATTTGTTTGATTTTGTAAAATTTTATAAATATGGAAAAAAGGAACTGAAATTTAAAATATTTTAAGCTAAGTCATCTTCCTTTTTTGCAGAAACCATTCTCTTGGAAAATGTCTTCTATCCATTCATATTATTTCTTATCAACTATGAAATATATATTTGATATTAAGTCATGACAAATCAATTTCTTTTTATTGGATGAAAATAACGTTTGTTTTGTGCCAAAAAATATGAAATGCTTTAATTTTTCCAGTTTATAGGTGCTTTAATTTCCAATGTATTGCATGTTTGGGCAATCGTTTTTTTGTTTTCTTTATATATATACATTGTTTGAAATGTTTTTCATATTTGCTGTTTTCGAATTTGTCAATTTTTGATTTCATTGTAAGTGTCGTGAAAGGTTTCTCTTCAGATAGTCGAATATTTGTGATACAGCAGTGAGATTAATAAATTTTTATTTTTATAAAACGTATTATCAGTAACCTGAGCAGTAGAAATAGACTTTATAAAATCGGGGAAAATTTAGATTGGTTATGACTGCTTATAATCGACAATAATGACAATAATCTTTTGTTTATTTGGATTGAATTTATATAAGTGAGAATTGGGCATGTCTAAGATAAAAATCACATGTGTTAAGAATCGGAAGTGTTTACAAAGAATTGATAATTTACAATTTCACTTAAAATCACATGAGTAATAAATCTTAAGAAACTAGGTTTATGGAGAGATGGTTTATGATATCGTTAGATTGGTTACAATTTAAAAATGTTTATTTAGTTTTATTAGTTTTTAGTTATATTAATCTTATTATTTTGGTTAGAGTTTTCGCGAAATTATAATTCGCGACACTCCCAAAGGTGGGGAGAAATCGATGTAATGTGGAGTTTCGAGAGAGTGATTTTGAGGTATGTAGCTAAAGGTATGGGAGTTTAATGGGTGGGATTTCTTCCTTAGGAATTGAGTGTGTGGTGATTCTATAGAGAGAATAATGATAGTAGCTTGATTTGAACTTCGTTTAGGAGTAGTACGGAATAAGGATTGAATTAATTTGAATTTCTATTTAAGAATAACTAAAACAGTTAATATTGTCACCATAATTATACAAATAGAAATCAATTTCCAATGTATTATCACATCTTCAAATTCTTCTTCTATCGGTAGAACAATTTCGTTAAATTCCCTTTCCATTCGTTCAATAATTTTTTCTGCTTCTTCAGAAATTTCTTGCCAAAAGATTTCATCCTTCATTTCATGTGTTATTGGATTGATTGTTTCGTGATTTTGAGTCAGGATTTCTAATTCTGTGTTAATTCTTTCATTTTCAAACTTACTTATTAAATCTCCTTTGAATTCGATTTTTTCGATTGTCGGTTGTTCTGATTTGCAAGGGGCCACCACCAATCTCCATCAATTCTTTTAGCTATCACATCGTTTCTTTGAAGTATTAGTTTTGTGGCAAGAGTAGGATTACTGATTGATAACCATTTGATCAACAATGACAAGTTATTTCTATTTTGGCAACTTTTTTGATGTGTTTCTTTGAGTTGGTGAATGAATTCTTGTCTTAGTGAATCGAAATGGTATTAAAGTTTTACGTTCTCAGGATCGAATTTTTTGTCAGGAGACTTTTCCATCATCATTAATTTATTACTCTTCGTTTGAATTTTCTAGTAAAGTTCGCGTCATCTTCAACGTCTACCTCAATAACTATATCACCTTGCATTAAAAATGGAGAGGTGAATCTATAATTTTTTGTGTTTAATATATGGTAGTTTTCATTAATTATAAGTGATGCTTGTAGTTCGTCGATGATGAAGTGTTTGTTATATTTTTTAGACTTGAATCTTCCAATTTTTCGATATAGAAAATGGTTGGCTGTACCTTTGCTATTCCATATAATAATACTAGTATTTGTTTGTATTTCCTTATTTGTTATCTATTGAGTAGGAAAAGTTTGAATTAGTCCAATTCCATTCATTTGTTTTCGAACATTTAAATATCTGCAGAATTATGAGGAAGTTGCAGTAGCAGACGTATAATCTGATACCATCGATAGTGATATTCTAAGAAAAGCTTTTGTGCATACTGTCCGTGTAATGTTACTACATTTTATAGCTGGTATTTTTACATGGGTGCGTGTGTCCACTTTGTGATATGTAGCATTTTTGTTAATAATTTCTTCACAATTCCATTTCTCAGGAATATTAAAGAGTACTCCAGAAATCCAATTATAGCTGCTGTTAGTTAATACCTGTCTTGGTATTTACGATATAATCGTTATCAATAATAAAGTTTTTATCAAAAGATTGGACTTATCATTTGCATCGACCATAGTTTGTAATTTTTTAGCACTTCTGGTTCGTCTAGCAATGGATTCTTCCGGTTTATCTTCCACTTTGTCTTCTATATCTTCAGCAGCATCTATTTCCATAGGATAATGCATATTTATTAATCGATCAATTTGTTTTCCAGTTGGTAATTGTATTGTTGTGCTTTTTATTTTTCCATCCCATCCTCGTTTAATTTTTATTATCTTTGCTAATTTCCAACACCACGAGGTACTTCTGGTTCATTTAATAATACTATCTCATTTTCATGTGGTATTCTTTTCTCTACTATTCTAGGTGATGTTAATTCTCTTTGTGTACGTTCTCTAAGACTTATAAGGTATTCTTCTTTCCACAACTTCCAAAAGGCATCTAATATGGATAGAGTACTGGTCCAATACTTGACTAGTTTATCTTTAGTCTTTATTGTATAAGGAGTATATTCGTCTTGATGACTGTCGTAATTTATTGGTAGATCTAATGAGGCCATAGTTGATGTAAAATCAATTGGCCGAATGATTCTGTAGTCGTCGAAAGCTATATAAGGACGATTAATGGACGAGTATTAAGGATTCCTTCTATTTCAACTATCAGTGTTATTAATTCTCCTTCCTTTAAAAGTTTTCTTCCCATTGCTCTTCTTAATGCTTTTTTTGTAAGTCCTATAAGTCTTTCATATACACCACCACCCCATGGTGCTCTTGGTATAGTATTTTTCCATATCATACCCTTTGTCGCCAAAAAATTAGCGTTTTCTTCCATAACAGTTTTGAATACCAGTTGAAATTGGCTAGCATTATCGCTTAATATTAATTTTGGATATCCACGTCGAGCGATAAATCTTCTTAAAACATGTGAAAAATTCTCGGCAGATAAATTCTCCGCCATTTCTAGATGCACCGCTCTGGTAGTGAAGCACGTAAAAAGTGCTATCCATCTTTTGACTAGACCAGTATTAGATTTGACTGAAAGAGGACCCATATAATCCGACTTGTTCGAAGGTTCTGGATCGTTTTACTCGTGTTTCTGGTAAACTTGGCATCGCTGGCAGTTTGAACGGTTTAGCTTTTCAGCGGATGCAAGAAGTTGTGGCATAAGTTTATGATTCGTTTTACTGCAGCTCTTCCTTTCGGTATCCAAAATTTCCGTCTTAATTCAGATAACGTATGTGCGATTCCTGCGTGATATAATTCATTATGCTTGTGTAAAATAATAAGATCGGTGATATAACTATGATTCGATAAATATATGGGATATTTGCTTTATCCTTTAATTCTGAGTTTTCCAATCTGCTCCTTAACTTCCATAAGTTATCACCTTCATCTTGATATAGATTCCATTTTTCCTTTTCATCCTCCGTTAACATTTGTGATTGAGCTTGTTTGATCAGCATGTTTTCCGCTATGTCGTAACCAATTTTAGTCATGTATCTCTTTTTTACAGATAATGGGTGTAGCCACACTAATTTCCTTTTGCAGGTTTGTTTGATAAATCAAAGAGTCCAAACAGTTACTCGAATTAGTTTTGTCCAACTACTGAAGCGACATTCGTCAATAAATTCAATTGTATCTATTTTAAAAGTTTGAGTTATCTTTGTCAAGTTCAAAGCAATAGCTTCTACAATTCATCGTTTCCTGAATAACGAAGTTTACACTTTGCCATTCACATTTCTTAAGTTCCAACCATCTAAGTCCTTTCCACCATTGTTTGCAATTTTGAAGTTTAAGTGTAATAGTCCTTTGGTGGCTATATCTGCTGGATTTTGATCACTTGGTACGTATTTTAATTCAAAGTTAGATTTCCTTATTTCTTCGATGCGATTTTGTACAAATCTGTAGTTTTGTATAATTCTGGATCCAGTAGAAAACACATTTTGAATCTGTCCACAAAGTAACTTGATTATTTTCAAGATTTAGTTGTTTTAGTACGAATTGAGTTGCTCTTACTCCAATTAGTACAGATAATAATTCAAGTCTAGGAATTGACATACCTTTCGAATTGCATAAATCAAGAATGAATTCAATTATGCTCCTTTATATCCATGATTGAGAACACAAATAGCTGCAGAATAGGCAACTTTAGAAGCGTCAGTGAATATATGGAATTCTGTTAATTGTGAAGCTTCCATTCCATTATATTTGTTAGCGTTATTACCGCTTCCTTTCCTTCATGAAATAATTGGAATATTCCTTGGTCGCCTTCTGTTACTGCTTTGTATTTTTCTTCTAGTGTCATAGTTGATTCCGGAGATTTGATCTCCATTAAATTTATTTCTTTAAGAAGATTAACTAACCTTTCTTTTGCCGGTTGGATGCTTGCAATAATGTTGCTAGATATGATTCCCGGCTCGTGGCACCAAATAAAAATGTCGTGAAAGGTTCGTCTTTTTTTTCATTTTCAGATACTCGAATATTTGTGATGCAGCAGTAAGATTAATAAATCTTTATTTTCATAAAATGTATTATCAGTAACCTGAGCAGTAGAAATAGACTTTATAAAATCGGAGAAAATTTAGATTGGTTATGACGGCTTATAGTCGACAATAATGACAATAATCTTTTGTTTATTTGGATTGAATTTATATAAGTGAGAATTGGGCATGTCTAAGATAAAAATCACATGTGTTAAGAATCGGAAGTGTTTACAAAGAATTGATAATTTACAATTTCACTTAAAATCACATGAGTAATAAATCTTAAGAAACTAGATTTATGGAGAGATGGTTTATGATACCGTTAGATTGTTTTCAATTTAAAAATGATTAATTAGTTTTATTAGTTTTTAGTTATATTAATCTTATTATTTTGGTTAGAGTTTTCGCGAAATTTAATTCGCGACAGTAAGTATGGCCTAATTTTCTAGTTTATCTAATAACTCTGGAATTACACTGAAATGGTTTTGTAAAAGAAAAAAGAAGAGAGAGAAAGTAAAATAAAGGTGATCGGTTTTTTCTACATTAATGTTTGTTGATACTTGGGAATAGGAAGGTAAAGTATAACAATAATAAGTTGTTTAATTGCTATAAATATAAGAATTTTTCTAGTTGATTTCAATCGGTAAAATTGAAATGGTCAAAGTTATATGAATCCCTTTTCAACGTGCTGTATTTATTAGCTCATTCCTCAATTAATAAGCTTTAGAAATATAATATAAAACGAAACATTGGTTGTCATTTCTACTTCCTAAAAGCTTCTATGATAGACGACCCTCCGTTTTCTAAATCCATTAAAGTTTGTAAATCAGAGAAACTTGAGAAAAAAGATGACAGTCTTAATTTTCACTTTAATTTCTGAATGCAAGAAAGATGACAATATCATTATCAGTTGGCGAATTCTAATTCTCAAATATTAGCATGAATATTTCAGTAAAAGATCATGCATAAAAAGCTGAAAGATAAGGATTTTCTTTATTGCGTCAATTTTCAGGACAACTTTTAAGTAGGTTTAAAGTTTTTTTTTTTTTTTCAATTAAGAATTTTAATCTTAAAAAATCTAATTTTAAAATATGATGATCCAAATAAGCAATTTGGAAGTAAGATAAATGGCAAGTGAACAGGTAATAACAAGCAATGAGAAGAGTAAACAAGTTAAAATATTTGAAATGATAGTTCTCTTTGTGAATTTTTTTCAATAAATATTCAGCGAGTGTTAATAATGTTTTGACAGGTAAGAACACTAATTTAAAAAAAGGTTAATGAAAAGCAACGAGCTTTTTCGAGTTAATAAACAAAGCAACTAATTAATTTATGCTCCAAAAATTATTTTCCTATATTTTGAAAGCATTTTTAAAGATGGAAATTTGTTCTTTCTTTACATGCAGTAACCATTATAGGTATTGCTGATACAGTAAAAAGCATATTTGTGTGACATTAACAAACTAAAATACTATATCAGTGTTCTAATATGAAATCAATTAATCACATTATCAATATAAGACATTTTTAATGGATTTGTTATCGATTATGCATACGAGAAACTTAATTTCAATTGAGGAAGTGTATCAAATTGTTTAATTAATTCTGATTAGAGAGGAAAGGAAATCTACGATTATTTTATTTATATTTTAAATATAGGAAATCAAAAAAAAAAAGTGAAAATTGGAATTAAACTTCATAGAAACAAACAACACGAAAATATTCGCTCTTAATTCTAACAACAATGTTTGTTTACATAACAATTTTCTTTTTTTTTTTTTTTTGCAGTGAAATTTTCAAGTTTTAATTGCTTCTTCACTTTTTGTTCATTTTACGGGTAAAAATTCAAATTTTGCAAATGTAATATGACAAAATTTGTACAAATCATTGCTAGTATTGCTCAATAGTTATGTAAAACTTTGAAATAATTTCAGTGAAATTTAATTTCTATCCATTTGGAGCACATTGATTTGCCACGAGAATTTTCTGAATGCTTCAAAATTTCCCGAACTAACTGCGATGAAGGTTTAGAACATGTATTTCTGAGACGTAGTTTAAGTAATAAGTAGTATCAATTTGCATTTATTAAGTATTTTATCTTATGATTCAATTAATCACCTGAAAATATTTATTTCCAGGTGATTAATCTGCTCTCATGTAGCAAAAGTTATGGATAATTTGTTGATAAGCATGCGAATAGATAACAAGAAGGAACAGTATGATAAGATTGATAGCGTAATATCTGCAATTTCTGTGCTGTACGATCACACATTAATTATTGGAAAGAATAATCTAATAGAAAAAATTGAAACATTCAATTTAAATCATTCACTTTAAGTTCATTAAAAATATATAATATTTAATTAACGTATAATATGCAATCATTTACATAGAAAATTTCAGATATATTACTTATCAAATAGTAATAAATACTATGTACAATATGACAACACTAACACCTAGATTTTTATTTAAAAAAAAAAAAATTTTAATCCAGTAATGTTAATTATTCCTTATTTTGCTTTCCATATTAGTAACACTTTATTATGTAATACCATTTTGTCCTATATTCTATTCATTAATAAATAATATGAATTAATTGAGGTATACGTGAAATACGTGTAAATTTCCAGGAACTTTTACTCTGCATATAGCATAAATATTGTTCCATAATTGGCTAAAATTTTCATTTGTCATTTTTATATTATTAAGAGAAAAAGGAAGGTCGTATACTAAAATTAACCAAATGTGTTGTATTTGTTGGTTTCTTTTCCGTCAAAAAGAACCAAAAGTATGCCATCGTTGTGGACAAAAAGTATTTACTATTCAGATTTCTTCTTTTTCTCTTTTCAAATTTAAGTATAAACAATAAGAAATTGTATGCTTAAATTAACAGTTAATTTCATCGATTAATTTTTACTCCATTAATGAAACAGCAATTAATTTTTACTTCATTGTAAAAATGAATTCATTAATGAGTCATCAATGAATTTTATATCAATACTGAAATTTACTTGATCGATCAGACATGTATCAATCAGACGTGATCAATTTTTTTTTGTTTTTTTTTTATAAATTTTTGGTAATTAAAACAATAAATTTTATAAAAATATCAATATCTAAATGGTAAATAAGCAATAAAATATGCCTAAGTCTGAAAAACGATTGAATGTTTAATTTTTAAACTTTTTCTTTTATTTTTTTCAATTTTTTCATCTTTATTATCTTACAGTGATAGCATTAGCATTATTAGCCAAGTTATCATTTAGCTACAATAAAGCTAGTTATAAATATTTTAGCTATAATAATAATATGCTATAAACATTCGGATTAAAATGATAAGTTGTAAAAATAAATTTAGGTGGTTCAAATGCGATTCACTAAATTTGGTTTTTTTCTTTGCTTCGGTGCTTCACTTTATTGCTGCATTGGACTTTGTTGTCTATTGTTAGCAACTTTAACTTTCCATTATTTTTTTTTTCTTTCTGCTCAAAATACTGTAATTCTTTAAATTACTTAAATTTCAAATTCTTTGCAAATTTTAAAGCTATCTTAAAAATATGATGTGAATATTGAGTGTGAGTATTGAGTAAAATTTAAATAAAGCAAGATTAGTCTAGAAAGAAGCAAGTTTAATTTTAAAATAAATAGAAAAAAGACATGTATGTCTAATATTATCTTTATGGTTTAATAAATTATTCATATTGGTTTTTTCTTTTTTTTTAAAATATATTTTGTCCAATATTTTTTCTGCTGAAAAAAGTCTGTTGCAAAAAAAATTTATTTAAGATGAAGCAGAAAAAAGGAACAACTTATTAGATATCATTTGTAATTTGATTCCTTTAGTTTGTTGAGACAGAGACATTGTCCAATTTGCTATAAAAAAGATTTCGAGAAAATTGCTCGAGTTCGAAGACAAATTCAGTGTTTAGTGGATGATAAATCTGAACTGTATGTTAGTTTCATTTAACTTTTTATGAAATCAGCTAAATATTCTAAATTTCATTTTTAGCTTTTATTGATTTGAAAGCTGATAGAGTTTAAACTGAAGTTTATTTCTAGTTATGTGATAAATTGCACATCAAATCAATTTAAAAGTTGTGATATTAACACGTTTTGATCAAAAATGAAATAAATTATTATACATTTCACTTTAATATTATCCCAATTCACAGAATTTGTTTTAAATTTTCTTTGTTTATTCAAACATTTCATCCAGGTTTTTTCATTGTTAAATAAAATTAAAATAATTTATGAACACTTCTATCAGTAACTACGAATAACAATTGAATTCCTGCTTCTTATTTAAAACTTCCATCTCACTTTTCAGCATAGCTGAAGCAACAGAACGTGCTGAATCGTAGCGCTGTTTATTGGTTCAAAATTTCAGCTTATAATTTTAATTTTGTGTAGTTCTTGAGAGACTTATATTAAAAGTATTTGTTTACATTCAATAAATTATTATCATTTGCCTAAATTACAGTTAATTTAAAATTAAGAATTTGTCTAAAATAAGATCAACTAAATATAACAAATAGAAACTGAAAGATTCACAGATACGTTGAGATTTTAAGCCATTTAATGAAATATCATTGCTTATTTACTGAAATTTCATCAATTTCAACCCATTCTTATAGTATTCCGAATTTCATCCTAAGTAAAATACAATTTGTATGTAGAATTATCATTGTGATTTAGATTACACCAATGAAAGACTTCGTAATTCTAAAATTTAATGGTTTTTTCCAGTAAATTGAATTTGAAATTCTAAAGTTTTTAACTTTTGGAATTATCCGAAAATTTTACAAATTATTTGAGCATAGATGTTTTGCAAATCTCAAATCTCAACTGAAAAATGAATACATTCTTGCACTTTTAAAATTCTGTCCAATTTGCAACTTGCTGGAGTAAAATTAGTTATACAATACAATACTTTCAACTTTTGTAAATTTAAAACTAAAAATTTCAGTTTTAAAATTTAAATGATTTCAGCATCTCTACAAATAAATTTTAGAATTTTTTTCCTGTCTTTTTTTTTTAATTTTCCAGGTTTCTTGAAAAATTGACTGAAATTTTGAAATTTTTACTTTTTTATAATTTTATAGGCAGAAATTCTAGCTCAAAACTCAATAAAATGAAATACCAACGTAGTAAACTTTTAATGAAACCATCTGATAATCGATTTTTACATAAAAACTAATCGATGTTCACAAAACAAAATTCAAACTCCCGCTAAACGAATTTAACGGGCCGAGTTAAAATTTTCAGAGATAATCTGTGATTTTTGGAAGCGAGAAATTTTATGGAGAGAAATTTCTTTTTAATTTTGATAAGTCTGATGAGTTTATAGGACGGCCATTACTATTGTTTGGTGATTTTATGGTGAGAAGTATTATATATCCGGATTTTGAATAGTAGGTTGATGTATATCCGGAATGTACATGCAGAAAATTGTTGCAAATAAGGATTCTAAGCATTCATGCATAAAATTGTTTTTTGACTGATATCCTATTAAACTTTCTGAAAATTGCGTATTGAATATATTGAACATGTATTTGGAAATTTACGTAGGGACAGTGACTGTTCTAGTGGAATGAAAATGTATTTTGTTTTTAGCTTGCGATCGTTTCGAAATTAAATTTTTACTTTTAATTTTCAGGTATACTTTTAGTTTCAGGTATGAAATTTAGGATCGTATTGGATTTTTTCCCTACTTACTAATATATCGCAAAAATACCTGTATGCAACGATTCACAATGCCATTTTAGGTGAGCTTTCTTTCTCGTTCATAAATTTCATTTCTTTCGTTTTTTTTTCTTTTTTTTCCTCATTTTATTGTAATATTTTGAAAAAGTTATAAATTTCATCATTATCTGTTACCTATGTTACTTATGTTGCGTCATATTTCACGTCGAATTCATGTCAGCCTGTATGCATATAAGCAAATCTTCTCTAAATAAATCATTAGTACGCCTTTTCGAAAATTTCATTACTTTGGTTAATTTTGATACACTTTTTTTTTCGTCTTATTTTTTAATTTTTCAAGAAAAAAAAGAAATGAATCATCATAAAAAAATTAAGATACTCTTTTTCTTTCTCAGTAGGACGAAGTGGAGGGATTTTTTTGTTATCGTGACAACAAGCTACTGTCAAATTGAGTACAATAAAAAGAAGTAAAGGAGGAATGAAAATAGACTTTTACTTCGTTTTTTCTGTTCAATTTTAACTTGGTCGTGGATAGAAGAGTACTGTGAAACATGGCTATCAGTTCGTTGCTCCAGGCAACGGACCATTTAAGGCTTTTCAAAGTATCGCTTTTTGTTACTCCATTAAATAACAGCGATCGCTAGCCAAAGCTTTTCATTGAATTCATGGAGATTATAGCGCTCTTTCCATATATTGAATTCACAAAGATTATTTCAATTGCAATAACTTGGTTTTATATATATACGTGAGATCACTGCTTTTATCCCTTCGTTACCGTTTCTATGACCATATATTATTTAATTTATTAGCAAATAAATGTTTGTTGCCGTTGGTTGCAACAAAAGCATTTATACATTTTGTCTAAAAAATAGAGAAAAAATTAAAAATGTATGTTGAAGAAATATGTTGGATCAAAATAGCAAATTTGAAAAATAAAAGATATAGTGAATTAATTATATTTAAGAAGGAAAATTTGGTTAAGATTAAGGGAAAAAATTTTTGATCTAATATTTCTCTTATGTATTAACCTTTTGTCGCATATTTAAGACCAGTTGATTATGACTGAACGATTTAATTTTAATTTTGAAAATTTCGCTGTGCTTGATATTAGTTTTGTTGGAAAATATTGAATTGATTAAATTTGTGTAATTCAATCATTTGCATATTAAGTGCAAAAGTTGCAGGTAACGGAGAATAAAACAAGCCTTAGAAATTGAAAGGTTCGGATTTATCGAATCTGAAGACTTTTTTGTGAGTCAATTAATTTAAAAATAAATAAATTGATATGAAAAATAAAAGAGAATTTCTAAGCCTTGCAACAACTGATAACCAAGGGGAAGAGGAAATTCAAAGCTAAATCAGGAAAAGTATTTTTCTACAATATCGTGATACACTGGATAAAGTTTTCTTGGCATAAAATAATATTCACGTTGTATGGAATGAAACGTAATTCATAATGAAATTTGCATAGCTTAACATGTTTTATTGTAGTTGGTAAAATTCAGTTGTGGACTAGCTATTCGAAAGTTAGAGTCTAATTAGTTCTTAAATTTTTTAGATGATTGAAGAATTCTTCCTGCTTTTTTACCAACTTTCTCGTAATTTAACATTAATGTAATTCAGCACGTATTATTGTTCTTTCCGAAGAGAAAGGAATATGAAAAGTTAAATTATAATAGTATTTTTATTATTGATTTTATATTCCTTCCATGTCTGCATAATAAGCATTAATTCGTAGTATGATGTCAAAATAATGTAGAAACACATACAATAAAAGTGTCGAGAAATTTTTATAACTCTTGATCTAATTAAAATTTTCAGTGATTTCGATCATTTTTGCATTGCATGATGTGACTTGTTGTGTGTCTTTGTTTGTTATGACAGTACGAAAAATAATTGTTGAACTGCTGCACTCCATTTTTCTTTCATTGATCTTTTCTTTCATTGATCAGATCTTAACTTTTTCAGTTCATTTTTGATAGGATGAATGTTTTTCTAGTCATATTATTATTATTGCTTTTTTTAAATCATTTTTTCAGATTGTTATGTAATCCGAAGCAAGGTGGCCAAATATGCCAAGTAAAAGTGTGTCAGCATCGATGACTACTATGCCTTCGACATCAGGCAGCACCGAGCTGACAGCATCATCGCAACATGTAATTTATTTCTTATACTTAATTTCACTAAGTAGCTTTTAGTAGTGTTTAGTTAGTATTAAAAGAAAAGAATTGCATAAATTTTACTTTTTTTTTTTCGAAAATGTCTTAATTTAAAGGATCCAGAATGCTACCAAATGCTCAGAGCTAGTTTGATAACTTTATAATAACAGCTACTTAGTCACTAGTCAAATTGCAATCAAACTTTACAATTAAATATTTAATTATATATATTAAACAGATACCACAATAAACAAGTGATATTGAACAAAACTGTAGATATCTCGCTTTCTTTACTCTTTAAATTGTAATAAAATCAAATTTTGCTAGTTAATGAGAAAAGATCGTTCATATCTCTTAGATTTAAGTTAGTAATAAAAGAAAAGGATTGCAATGAATAATTTAACCAGATTTTATTCTAATAACCGAAAGTTTGTAATAGAATTCAGATCAAGAAATGATAGCTCTACTTTAATGTTCATATCTTTAGTCTCTTTATTTGTCTCGCAGTCATATTTTCACAAATAGTAAAATTAATAAGTGAATGAAATGAATTTCCGTGTAGAAATAATTCATGACATAGGTTCTACAATTAAAATTTCATAAAAGCATAAAGAGGTTTAATAGTGGATGAAGAAATTACTCATAGCATTTGACAATCAATACCCTCAAAAAAGGATAGGTATATAGAGGTTGTTTTTGAAGGAAGCTTTTGAACAAGTATAGGATACCTACAAGAAGGTGAAAAAGTCGAGTTGCCTCGTTTGCCTTGTGAAAAGGTTGGGATAAAAATAAATAAAATTAGCTGTAGCTGTTCATATTTTCTTTGTTCTAGGCTAAACATCCTTTCATACAGTCTAGGAAAAAGCATAAATCTTTTTTCGAATTTTCAAAGTTTTTCTAACAAATATTGCTTCACAGGAGATGAAAAAAAAAAGGATTCAAAGAGAAAAATGGATTAATAAATTGTCATAATTTGTCAGAGTGACATAAAACAGTGAAATTATCAAGGCAAATTTGAAATTTCAAACAAAAGAAAAATCATATAATTTTTGTTATGATTTTAATTTATTGTTTTAATTTAGAAAAAGGCACAAGTGATATTTTTGCAACGATCACCGAAGTTAATTATTAGCCGTAATGGTAGTGAAGCGGTGCAACATTTCATTCTCACTCAACAACCAATAGTTAATGGTAAGTTTTCCTTTTTTTTTAACTCTTATATATTTTGATTTCTCAAGAATTGCCCCTACAGCAACAAAATTTTTACTTCTGGAGCGCAAAGCGAAAGCGAAATTGGCGTGGGTGGAAATATCTTTTTTTCTAAGCGAATTTTTTAATTTCTTGAATTTTGAATTTTTCTGATTTTAACAAGATCCGCACTTGAATAAATGTAGATACCGATAAGTTGAAGGTTATTGTAATAATAAATAGTGAGAGCTAAATAAGCCTAATTTGGTAACAGTGCATGTACGCTCACCAAACATGTTTCAAAAGCTTTAGTAGAATTGGTCATTTTATTTTCGAAATCTCAATGTTTATATTCGCTACAGGAATATAAATTTCCGTTTGTTATTGACAATTATGGTTTGGGAATGAAAAAAAAAAAAAAAAGAAGAAATCAAGATTCAAGATACTGTGCAAAGGATTAAGCACTGTTGTCTGGAAAAGAAATGCTAACATCCAAAGAGAAGGGGAAGCAGGGATTGGGCAGGAATATTCCATGAGAGAAAAATCGAAAGGAGCAGGTGCATGTTACAAATTTTTATGTGTGATGTAAATTATAATTGGAAGTTAATCATCAAAATAAGCAGCTCGAAAAGCCAATCCTATCTTGCTTCATATTTTTCTTTATTTGTAGACTTCATTTATTTGCACAGCATAAGCTTGGCTAATATGTATATATGTCTTGGAATTAAAAGTTAGGAATTTCTGATAGAAAATTCTCCTAATATACATTATTTAAGTTCCTAATATACATTACCTAATATACATTAATATACATTATTTAAGGATATTCATCGTTGAGGATAGAAAACATGATATTGATATATTATTTCATACTTCTTTTGTAACATACTCATGAATATTGTGATGAAGTTAGTAAAATAATGTAAGAGATTCTGAAAATTTTGCGAGATTTGCGAGAATATTTTAAATCGTATCAAATTAATGCATTAATATTTGAAGTGGAAAATTTCATATTACATTGCGCAGTTCACAGTGTAAGAGATTCTGTGAGATGTACTAACACAAAAAAAGGTTAGCGGAATTAGCAAAGTATTAGTAAAAAACAAGTGCGTAGATCCATGAAGAATATTTATGGAATATTACCTTTTGTGTATCCATCGATGAGTGATTATCAATAAGTGTTGTTGTATCATTTCGCCTTGTATTACTATGTGCATTTTTTTTTTTTTTTTTTTTTAGAATTTGTTTTCATTTCGAAATAACATTAAAGAACGTTTGATAAGTAGTTCAATGGATTCATTGATATGTACTGTATTAATTAATACATCCTTGCCATGTACAACTAAATGGAATTGAATTTCATTTTTATCATATAACCAAAGTAGTACGATCAGTTACTTGTTCCCTTCAACTCTCAGTGCAAAAAATTTTCCCAGCTGAATGTGGAAATGATTGAAGAAGAAAAAAATGGCCCTCAATTCAAAATTTAGGTTATCGTAATTTTCACAAAAGATTTGCTTTTAAAAATGAGAATGACTGATACTGAAAAAAAGAATATTAAGTGATATTAGCTTCTCAAGACGAATTAAATGAAGAGGAGAAGGAAGAAAAGGTAGATTGGTCTTTGAGGCTTTGTTATGACTATTTAGCATGATATATTATACCTATTATCCATTTGAAATAAGATCCGCCCTGTTAGATCTATTTTGTAAAAAAAAAAAAAAAAAATGTTTTATCTCTGGGCTATTTCCCAAATATCCTATACAAAGAGAAAAGTGAAAAAAGAGGAAGGATTAGCATCTGGATGATTGTTATTAGTCTTTCGTTTCATTTACCATTCCCATTCCTTCAATTTTTTTTTGATCCGAGAAGTCGGGTCTTGATTTTCATTCTCCAATATTATCTCCAGCATCACTGTGTTTATTACTCCATTGCTTCAAATCTTCGGGAATGAATTTCTACCAACGTTCTCTGTTTGGTTTGCCACCATTTCATACAACTCGATTTCCATGTTGTAAGTATTATAAACTTCTTTCTGCATGAGTTTTATCACTTTTCCCTGAAATAATCCATTAAAGTTTAGAAAATTATTTCATCCTCAATGGATGAAATAAAATTTGAACAGTTGGTAACATGATATTTTGAATTTTTATACTGCTGAGTTGAAGACATACTGTAGGTTAGAAGTGGTTAAATTCCTTCTAGAATATGCTGGTCAAGTAAATTAAAGCAATTATATGGGTAGAAGTGGTTCTAGCATTCTTTCTCTTTAAGCTATTCTCACTACTTTTCACGATGTTTTTTTTTTCCTTTTTTATTGAATATGATCAATATAGACAATTGTTTTGTTGACTAGGAGCAAAATAAATTGTCTTTAAGCTTAGGAGTAAATAAATAATCTTTATCTCTGACAAAGACATCATGAGTCATGCTATAATGTTAGTAATAAAGAAAGGTTAACTTGAAGTGAGAAAAAAAAAGTGTTTAATTCTTGTTTTCGTCAAATTACGAATAGTGAGATAGAAAAAAATATTTGGCCTTTCAAATTTCATGATTTTTCTTATGGAAATGAAATGAAGTGATAGCAAATTGCTCTTTTTTTTTTCTTTTCCCCTTTTCCTTTGTGAAAAAAATAACTGATTATGGTTTTTTTTTTCTCACCCTTCTAATTATTGGAGCATTCTTTTTTCCTTTGTCTGCATTGACTCTTTGAAGAAGGCGAAGAAAGCGATTATTTTATAATCACGAAATCTTTTTTCCTCTCGTTAATTTCTTTAAAAAATAATGTTATGTGCAATGATAACTAATGGAAGTAGGATTTAAAGTCCTCGAGAGTTTTATTTGAAATAGATTTATATCAGCATTTACGTATACGTTTTCAGATATGAGGTATGTTTTCGATAATTTTAAGAAATGGTAGAAAAGAATATTGGTTAGTTTTTAGTTTTGTTTGACCCTTATTTGATAATGCTGCAATGATCACATTAAATTATGAAATTAGGATAAATCGATTTATGAATTGGTTATGTGTTATTAATTATTGCCGACATCATGTGCAATATCCTTTCAGGTAAGAGAGAAATGAAAAAGAAATTAATGGAAAAGGTGAAAAGGTGAGTAAGATAGAAAGAGGGTGAATGTCATCAAAGCATGTATGTATAGGCTTTCAAATATACCGTAGACAAGAGATATATCCCTTAGTATTTGTGCTATTCGGAAGTGCTCCGCTAATATCTCCTCTTCATCACTCTTTTCCACTTTTCTGTATATCATAGCCAATATACTGCTTACTTCCCTGCTTAGGCTTAAATTGATTTTGCAATATTTTCATTCATTCATTTGTTGGTTCACAGTCACTGCAACTGCTACCATCGTATACCATTGGTTAGTGCCTAAAGGCTAAAGCTTAAAAGTACATTCACTGATCAAGCTAGCTAGCTTACTATTTATCTAAAGCTTGGCTAACATGAATAATAAAATGGTTGTCCTTATGGCTTATGCATGCTAGATGAGATTTTTTTCTGTTTTGGTAAAACTAACAATACATTTTCTTCTGTTTTTTCTTTTTCTTTTTTCTTTTTTGGATTTCATCTTTAGACTTTTTTTTTATTCGTCTGTTGCTGCACATTTGGAGTTTAATTTATTTTCTTAATTTTCAGTTGTAAGCTATGGAATAATCTTACTGAATCGTGTATATTTGGAGGTCAATTCTGAAATACATCATTTAGTTAGTCTAGTTGAAATGTCTTAAAAATTTCAGATTATATCCCAAATGGGGAAAGATTAGTTGTCTAAGATTTTACATTCATGCAATACTGCCGTCTCCAAAGGGTCCATCAAGTCTTATTATCATTCAAATTGTCTCGCGGTCTTTTCATTACAGCTTTTCATGATTCCTATTTTTTATTGATATTGTTGCTGAGAAATACGGTACTTCCATAATTAAAAAGTAGAAATTTTACGAATAGTTCGAGAGGTTTTGAACCATTTCTCATCTCTTCCAAAAATTATTTCCTACATTTTCTATCATTTAAAAATCAGAAAAAAAAAATAAAAAGATCAAAATGAAGGATGCTTAGGATGTGATAAATGAAAGTATGGTAGAACTTCTGCATTATGGTTTTCTGGATATAATTTCTGAAATATATGTTTTAGTTTATCCTTAGAATATTTATGAATTCCAACAAGTTTGAACTAATTTAGAATTTCATAATAAATGTATGGATGTGGTAGCCTGCAACTACAGAAGTTTTAGGACCTATTCTCTTTAAGATGAATTAAATTGATAATTCAAAGTTTTTGTGTATTTTACTTGAACTTGCTAGATCTATTATCTTATAACTCTTGTAATCTTGAATCATAAAAGATGTAAGTAAAAATCTTGATATTGAAAAACTCATGATGATGAAAGAGAATGGTTAAAGTTCCTTGCAGTAGTTCCAGATTATTATTTTCGGTCATTTTAAATGGATAAATAAAATTCAAGTATGACTTATGTTCGTTTCTAAATAACTCATTTAGTGGGATTTATTGAGGTTGTTGGTGATATCCTGCAGTTAATATTAATGTCTATATCATCCATATACGTGTATGACTTTGTGAATATATACATGTATGTATGTATGTATGTGTGTCTGTTTTTGTATGTATATCTATGCTGAAGTACACACGAAGCAATTAAAATGCTTTATGTGATGGTGCTATGACTGGTAGATGGAGAAAGTTTATTAGCATGATCGAGTAAAGTGGCCGATAGAGCCTATTGGTTCAGAAGTTACTATGCATATGTGTGTGTGTGTGTGTGTCTGTAATGTGTGTGTATGTGTTTGTTGTATATAGTTAGCATATATGTTTATAGGTTAAATATGGTGCTAATAGTGCTGTGATGTATGTTGCCTTCTCCAATTAATTCTACGTTTATGGATGATTTGAATGAATCTGGATTTAGGGACGAGCTGAAATCATAATTAGGAAAGGAAGAGATGATAGAGATGGAAGGTGGAGGAAGTTAATGTCACAAAATATTTTCAACCTATTTGATTGGTTGATGGAGTTGAAATAAGTTGACATCTTAGGAATACCATATGACGATTTTTTTTTTTTCAATCGTAAACATGAAAATATGTGCCCAGTTGTTTAGGTTATTAATGAAAGTCTATTTTGTGATAGGAATATAGCTATTTTCGATCTTACCAATTTATCTGCATAGTTTCCTAATATGAGCACTATTTATTTTTCAAGAAATAATAAAGTTAATGAGCATGTTTACTTGCATTTATTAAAATTAGAAATTCAATGAGAATAGGAATTTTCAAAATCCAGAATTGTGTTACCATATATTATTCCGACAATTTAAGTCGCAAAGTAAATTTGCAAAATGTTGTAGTACGGAAAAAGTGAGGTGAGATCTAAATTTGATCGAATTAAATTATCAGTCTTTTTCACAAGTAGGTCACAGAGCCAAAAAATGATGTTAAATAAGTAGAAATTTCTAGTTTCTAAGATCTAATTTTTATTCTGATATGTTATTTATAATTTACGAACTGGGATTGGATCCTCTCTCTCACTTAATTGGTCTAACGTTGCTTAGTTTTATTGACTTATTTATTTACGTTTTATAGTTTTTCCACGTACTTTAATATTATTTTTACTTGATAATTTGACTGAAAGAAACTCACTGATTTTTTTTAAAATTGTTAATATAATATTAATGATACCATGAAAAAAAAAGCTACTCGTGATTGAAGTTGAGTTTACTAAAATTATAAATATTTCCATCCTTTCTTATCACAGTTAGTTTCGCTGTTATCACTTTAGTTTTTAATAACTTTATCTGTAACATTCGTTTAGTTTTTTTCTTACATCATTATTAATTTTGAAAATTTTTTCACTTATTTAATTTGTCCTCAGTCAGAATTATTAAAAAATGGCCTTGAATTTAATGTTTGACCTACTGTCGTTCATGTACATTTTTTAATTTACCTACATGATCGTTAGCTTAAAATAATTTTATCGTATATAATTCTACCTTATTGTATGTGTTATACGATAATTAAATTTGGATGTATAGTGATATATAGAAACCGATTGTAGTCCTAGCAATACATAATTAATCTTTTAAAAACAAACATCCTTAAAACCTGCTCTTCTTGTGAACTATAAGTGAAGGTTTTGGGCGGAGAGTCAAGTTATCTTCTTTCACATTCGCTACCAAACTTTTATTATTTTTTCTTTTGTCAGGTATGCACTTTAAGAAACTGGAGAGAGACTTAATAGATTTTTTTCTGACTGTAAAAGCAGAACTTAGTGGGAACAGATAGATTTCACAGAAAGATTTCATAGAGAAAACCTAATTAGTATAAAAGCCTAAGTAGGAAAGGTTTGTTATTTTAACTGAGAAAAAGCTTATCGATTTGCCACTTTGCTAACGATAATCCTCTAACTTCAACATTCCAACTTCTTTAGCAATGAATAGTTTTTTATATTTTAAATATTGTAAAATATATGCAATACAATTAATTACTCACATATCAAAGTTATCTTATTGATTGTCATCCTAGAAGAAAAGCATTTGTGAAAATTTTTTCTCAAACTTCGTTTAGTCGAGAAAGAGAATTAAGAGAACATTTCAGGATTCAATTTGTAAATCAAATTAGAAATGACATTACAAATTCAAAAGATTGCTATAATTCTCGTGCTATTTGTGTGCTTGTCTAACATTCGTAAAAAATTTAAGTTTCTTATTTTTGTCATAAAAATTGGAGCTTAATAAATTTGAATTGAGAGGGAAAGTTTGAAGATTACTTGATTTTCTTAGTAAGGATAAAACTTTTCTTGCGTTGAGGCAGTTGTTTTATTTTGATTTCCCAATAGTTTGTTGCGACTGTTAATTAAAAGCGATGGTTGTTTCAGTGTCAGATTTTCGTTCAACGCTCACAGAAGCAAGAGGTCCACCATCAAGCGATACCGTAATTGTTGATACAAGTAACGGCACCACTGTTGATGGTTTTGGTCAATCAGGAACCACTAGTAGTACCAGCACCAGTCATCATCATCATCAACCATTGGGTGATGAAGTAACGTATGTTACTAGCAGTAACAATTTAACTATACCCGCAACAGCAGCAGCAACAACAACCACACTTAGACCAACTACTGTAGCTGCAGCAACGGAAGTTGGCTTTTTAACAAGTGAAGCAGAGGGTACCGTGGAGACGGTGGTAGTTCGGTCAAGTGATATCAGTGGTAGTGACGAGTCACAGCAATTAAGTCTGATGGATGCCTATCCAATAGGACAAGTTACATCAACGTACTAAGTTGTTACGATATCAATGCACCGAAGCACTAATGTGTTGTAGTTGTGTTGCACCACCATATATGACCATTATAATACGAGATGGATGACTTAGGGTTGTGAGGAGTATTGTAACAGCAAGTGAAGGGCAAAAATTCAGCTTTTAGAAATTGTACCATCTCTTGCTTAATCTAACATTACAAAGCATAGCTCTAAATTCTGGAAGTTTTCTCAGGATGTTTATATCTCTCTGATACACGGAAGATCTCTTTTAAGTCTTATCCTCAAATTCCTCTCTCTATCTCTCTGATACACAAAAAATCTCCTTTAAGTTTTATCCTCTCTCTTCCTTTACTACAATCTCTCTTCTCTCCACTCTTATCCTTCTCATTTCATATATTCATTTAAAATCTTATGACATATGAGGATTTTTATTCACAATACATTTAAAAAAAAAGAACTACTCGTAATTTCTATCTGTCAATTAGATCTAATAATCTATCTAAATATCAAGCCTGTTGCAAATTTATATTCTCGTTATTTAGTGTTGAAATTCACTTAACAAAAGTGAGCATAATTAATAGTCGAGTAATGCAGCTCTTAGCTGTAATTAAGGAATTAGGGAAGCAATATTGTTTTTATTGCTGGATTAGTAAGAGGACTGGAATGCGATGAAATGTGAGAGAGGAATGATGCGAGAGAAGAGGTCATTGTTTTCGATAAGCTATTCACATGTCCTAATACTAAGTTTGGACTTTTTTGTTTAGATTTCTTTTGTATTGGAAATGAGTCAAAAATAAACAGATCAAATAAATAAGAAGCTTGAAATTTAACATACCATCTAGAGATCTCACATTGATATATCTTTGTAGACCGCTTGATTTTTTCCTGTAAAAATTTAAATGTAATTTTTCCGAAACGAAAACTGTAAATACGAACTCTACTACTGGTATTAGACATTATAGAAAGTATCACTGGTACATAGTTGATAGTTACCACGTCTAGAATTTCAATCATTGGCTTTCATTTTGCATTTTTCTTTTAAATCATTAAGAAATATTGATACATTTCAATGAGGAAAAACTAATTTTTTTATTTGATAATATATGTAATTCGTAGGATGTAGTAATATTTATATGGAATTGAACCGTTTAAGGCCATTATTAAATATTGCTAATTATCGCTAAAGTTTTTCTTATAATGATATCACAAGGGTTTGTAATGATACATCAACTAGTTACTTTTATGACCTATTCCTCTAAATGAAATATAGGAAGGTTTAATTTTAGGATTTTTTAGTCGTTTCTTAATTTTGCAAGAAGATAAGAGGAAAAAGCGAATAAAAAAAAGATTGTGGAGTTGTTAATACTTCAATTTTTTTTTGATATCCTTTGAAAATTTGTGGATGTGATCCATAAGATAAGAAATAATGCTAAAATATTAGAGATGACCGTGATGGTGATAGTGGTAGTAACCGTTGTCAATAGTGACATTGATAGAAATAGCGTTCCAAGGTTAGGCTTGATCGTTGAGATGATTGGTTGTGATGGTTGTTGTTTAGCAACTGGAATGTATCCACCTAGAAACAAGGATGACGGCCGAAGCTAAGGCAACGGAGTGTGGGAGGCTTAAGCTTTAAGCTTTAACGAAGCATGCATCCTGTAATGTTATCGAGGTTGCTGATAATGGAACTCTTTTGACAACAGTGACAACAATGTTGATTTCCTAAGAGGACTGCAAACAGATGACAACTGGAGGAAGGGAAAAAATAGGTAGTGACAGCGAACAGCGATAACTGTTGATCGTTGGGGAGAAGAAAAAGTCTTTTTAATTTTCTAGTGGAACCCTTAGCTGATGGAGCTTTGCATGCTAAAGGCATCACAAGGAGAACATTCCTTATTTTTGCTGGAAAGCTGGTCTTTTGGTAGTCTCTATATTTGTGCATATGCATATTAATAAAAGTACTACACTTGCCTCACATCTCTTCTTTCTCCTTATTTGATCATTACGAGGTGATTTATGAGACACGAATATGTGTATCTATATGCTCATGTTTATCTCTCAATGTGTCGAGCCTTAAAGTAAAGCCTTTGAAGCTTTTACCAAAAATTTTCGGTAACCAAGGAAGCAGCGGCAACAGCGATAGCAGCAATATGGTATCCGGTTAAGATTAAAGATAGGCAAGCAGCCGTAAAAATATTTCTCTCTAAAGAATTCTCTTCTCTTCTTATTACTCTCAGTCGGTTGTTGCTAAATTTCCGTTATCCAAAAAGGAACCAATTTCTGAGTTTACTAAAAGTAGCCCAAATAATTCCTGATCTTAAATATAGTAATAAATTTAGTAATGATGGATGATTTCAATTTCGTTCAATTTAAGGTGGTAGGTAAAAATATTGTTTATTAGAAAGATGTTATAAATTGCATTCTTGATACCGCAAAGATTGAAGAAAAGCGTGAACAATAAGTTGTGAAACTATAGTATTAAGGAATAGAAGAATTTTTAACTGGAAATGCTTGATTGATGCTTAAAGTTTTTGCTATGCTTCTGTCAGCGAGGGAAATATCTAAAGATATTGTATTACCTTTGAAAGATTTCTTCTTTTCTTTTTTTCGTTTTTTTGGAGAGTAGCATATCCTTGAATTGAATTGATGGTAAACTGACGGTATATGGGCGTATTTCAACATGCAGTGCACTTACAAGCATTTCCAGGGATTTTAGTAATCCTTATTACATGAAATTATATGGAAATCTACTACTGATGATCTGGTGGGTAAAATGGTTATGTTTTATCGTTAGGAATTAATAATTTTAATTTTGAAAAATTGGTAAGAATTATTAGTTAGTGCCTTCATTTCATTAACTCTAATTTCCCAAAATTTTGAATTATCGGGAGAAAAGATATGCGAACTATTTTTGACTGAAAGAGAGGAATAGGTAAAGCGCTGTAGAGAGAAGAGAGAAGGAGATGATGGTAATTTCACATAAGCTTCTTGTTTCTTCAGATTTTTTGGAAGTAGTTACATATTTGTCTTTTTCGTTTCTATGATGGGTCGTCTAGGAGACGACAATTCATCGTTATGGTCGTTATGGTTGTCATCATCGCTCTGCATTACTTTATATATAAAGTTATATATATATATACTTATATGTATATATATACCGCCAAGATGTTGGATACGTAAAGTATAAAAAGAATTTGATGTACACTTCTTTTATCTTGTGAGTTTGCGTCAATTCTGTCTTAGGGCTTCCTCCTTTGCTTACCCGCTCCCTTCTAACTTTATTCCCCTAACTACTGTTGTCAGGTATTTTGTATGCATATGATACCTTGGTAACCAAACATTTAATCAGTGAAATATTTTCATGTTATAAATAAATATTAGTTGGTAAGTACCTGACAGCATTAGTTGGTTTCATTCTTTAATTCAGGTGACATTGGATCTTATTCTTCAATTTTTCCTTTTTTCTTCAAATTTTTTATTAGTATATCTTGGACTAATTCCATCTATAATCATTTATTCCCACTTTCCACTTTGAATTTAAAAAATGCAAATGGTAAAATGTTTATATATATTTTTTAAGTTGCATAGAAAAAAAATGTTAAAAAAAAAGAAAAAAAAACGTAAAATGATTCGCTCATTCTTTCATTTATTCCTTATTAGTTCTTAATAAAATTAGACTTATAATTAATAATTATTTGCCTGCCAAGATTTCTCCTTCAAGTAAAGCTGCTTGATAGTTTCATATTCTCTTGGACAAATTTTAAAATTGGTTTTCATAATTTCGTCGAACTCTTTTTTCTTTTTTTTCAATTTGAGATAAAGACTAAAATTTTTCTCTCTGTACTAACAGATAAGATCCATTTTTAGGATAGGCTGTAATGCGAGGAAATGGACTCCATCGAAAATGCGGAATTTCAAAGAAATATTCGTAGTTAGAAGGGAAATGTTATTAGAGCAGGTGTGAGTGAATGATTAGCCGCGTACTGAGCCAGTCATCATTATGATCATTATAATGTACCTCACCTCATGGCTTCCTCGCTTCCCTTGCTTATATATCTTGCCTCTTAAAGGCCAAACGAGTTCACCTGCATGCTTCATTCTCTCCTCTAAAGGGACCCTTTTCACATTTACATCCCAAGGTTTTGCTCATAAAGTCGATGACGAAAGGAAGTCCAGCTGGACATCTAGACAGGTATTTGATTTTAAATTCTTTTTTTGTTTGTCTTAGGTCTATTGAAGTCTATGTCTCTTAAAATTTGATAAAATTTTTTAGAAATTTGCATTATAATATTTCTACGTGTATGGGATCAGATTGGGACTGTAGTTTTCGTGTCTTATATAGATATTTCATTTGTTTGTGATTTATTTTCTACTTCACGATTGATCTTTTTCCCATTCATTTCAATAAAGATAGATGTGAAGGAAATATTTCTTTCATGAGTTGAACTCACGGAAATTTTGGGAAGTTCAGTATATAACAATTATTTTTCAATATCTTAGTAATAACATTCTTTTCTTTCTAATTATATCTGAAGTTATTAAGTGTGGTACTGGATTTAGATTTAAATTTTCGGATAGTTTAAAGTCAATTTTTATATAGCCAAAGCAATGCATAACCTGCATATTTAATTTACATACTGTAACGGTGTATAGAAATGCAAAGAAGGAAAGGAGGAAGAAAAATACATGGCATAATATTATGGTTGATTCATTATATAATTCAGATTCAAAGTCTTTTCTGGGATATACCTTATATTTTACCTTTTATGTCATATTTTAAGGTAACTTATACATTTCCATTAAGTAATAAGTAATTTGCGCTGTGCATTCTTTTTTTGTAGTTTCTCTAAAATAATTTGCATAATATGATACTAATATATATTTTTTATTTTAATATTATATTTAGATATCTTTCTCATATAGTATGTAAACTTCCTTTCTGTGTTGCTACATATAGAACATGTAAGATAGGGATATTCCGGATAAAATATATCGTTTCCGGAAGCACTCATGGAAAGG